GTGATCACGAGGTGTTCGCGTGGCCCATGTCAGGCCCTGTCCCATTCTACTCAAAACCCTCAGTTCCTGGGTGTGTGTGGGTGTGAAGAAAATAGAAGCCATGACCCCTCTTACATGATGGACGGACTTTGCTGGAGGCCCTTCACTTTTATAGTGAGTTTCAAAGAGGAAGGGGTGCGGCATCGCCGTGTCAGGGTGAGGTCAATGGGATTGTGGTTTGGGATTCCTGCTGCTCTGTGCCCAAGGCCAGGGGCTGTGTGTAAGTAACTGGAGAACATGGGTTATGACACCAAGTCCCTGCGATGCCCTTGTTTCTACTCCTCATAGTGATGTCTCAGGGGGCCAAGGCGGGACCTCTGCTGCCTAGGAAGGAGGGGAGACACTTGGAAGGGTAGCAAGAGGGGCGCCCCACACACAGCATCTGAAATTAATGGGACTGTACAAAGCTCCTCACAGAGTTAGTGCCACAGGCACAGACCTTCGAACACCCTTTGAAAGGTAGGGGTGTCACCAAGAGGGGACTGAGGAGGGTCCTCATAGCCAGAGTTCGGGCTCTGTGTCCTTTCCCACTTAGGTTGTATGTTTAGGTGGCAGCAGAATCTCATTTGAAGCTAGTGCTGGCATTTGTGGTTTTACTGAAATGTCACTTCATCAGCAGGCACGCACCTCTAGGACTGTGGAGACTCAGTGCTCAGTGGCCAGCCCCTCTGGTCCCTGATCTGTGGGGGAAGGAAAGTACATTTGGCATAGGCTTCTCTCTGGGAGTGCTAGGGGAGAGGTGGTTCTAGGGCTCTGCACTCCCCTTTGCTGCTTGCTGTTTCCTCACTGTCTGCTCTCCCTTTTCTGCCTCCCTTGGCGCATCTGGTCGCTCCTCCCTGCCCTTCCTGTGAAGGGTACCTGTCCTTTGTAGAGCTCTGGACCAGGTCTGGAAGTGCTTGGGTAGAGGTGAGAGAGGCAAGGCCTCCAGGGACGCTTTTGTTTCAGGGCCTGGCTCTGCCCTGGGTGGGCTGCTGGGGAAGACCTGATGCTGGCCCCTGATAACAGCTGCTTCTGCTTTCCGCCCCTGTTGCCACCTCTGCTCTTGAGGGGGAAAATCTTGCAGAGGGCTGTGGTTGGACCTGGGCTGAAGGCCGACAGGGGTGGGTCTCTCCATGCAGTAGCACACAGGCAGGCAGGAAGTGGCCCTGTGCAAAAGCGGGAAGTGGCTGTTGTCAAACAGGAAGGGGGGGCTGGGCCGTGGGGGAAGGCGGGGACGAGCCCGGTGGAAAGGTGGGTGGGAAGAAGGTCAGCCTTGGCAGGTCTAAGCTGTTCCCTAGGAACAGTGAGCTCAGTGGGTGCTGGAAGGAGGTGTGTCTTCAAGAAGAGGGCTGTTTTCGTGGAAACAGTGGCTGGTGTGCTATCACCTTGGGTTGTTGAGCCAGGGCCTGGACCTACCACTGTGGACCAAGACAGTTCAGTGGCCTCATTCCTTTTGGGGTTGGGGATACTGTGTTTAGCTGGGGGTGCCCTTGCAGTTGGGAAAGATGCTCTTCAAACCATACTTGTTCCTGAACCCTGCTGCTGCTGGCGTGGAGCCCTCCTTTTCTTCCAGACATGGACCAGGCCTGGAGGGGGCACAGGAGAGAGTGATAAAGGGGCAGGAGACAACAGCTGGAGAGGCTGGGGTGCTGGCCGGTTGTGCGTGGAGGAAGGAGGCAGGAGAGAGTGTGGTCGGCAGAAACCGCACGGCTCATTGAGCAGAGCTGGATGGCAGGGCGCCACAGCCAGCGAGGCTGAGGCCCAGGAAGAGGAGGGATCCTGCAGGCAACGGCACTTCCTGGGCTTTACTCTCTGGAGATCCCCTGTTGCTGACCTTACCTGCAGGCTGAAGACAGGAGGAGCTGAGGAACACCCGCACCCCCAGGAAGGCTGACAGAGTGGGTCGGGGGCTCAGCTGGTGTGTAGCGCACCCTGTGTCTGCCCAGGCTAAGGCAGCGTCAATCCAGCTCTCTCAGTGTCTCTGGGAGTAGCCATGGCCACAAAGTTTGGTCCGGGAGGCCTTGTCCATCTTATTCCTGGGCCCTTGGAAAGGCACTGTACTGAGTACTTACCCAGTTACCTCATTTAATTCACAGATATTGCTGCCTCCATTTTAGAAGTGAGGACCCTTTCTCCAAAATAATGTGTCTGGCTCACTGTCTCACTTCCTTTGGGTCCTCATCAAATTGCTGAGGCTTTTTCTGACCGCCTTTCCTGCTTTATTTTTCTACACAGCACTTGCCACAACATCAACAATGCCATCTAGTTCTTACTGTCTGTCTTTCCCCTCAACCCAGCCCCACTACAGCATCAGCTCCATGAAGACGGGTTTTTGTCTGTTTTTACACTGTGGTATCCCAACATCTAGAACAAGTGCCTGTCACACAGCAGGCCTCAGTAAATATTTTTTGAATGAATGAGGCTCGGATGGGTTTAATAACTTGCCCAACATGACGGCACTGGGACTCAGTCTCCTGCTGTTGGACCCCAAAGCCGATGTGTTAATGGTAGGATGCCATGGCGAAGGATCAGACCATGGACCACAGCACAGCCTGGGGTTTAGAGAAGACACAGGCTTCACCCAGAACATGGGGCTCGGCTCCTTGGAGTTAGGGTTGCATTAAGTGACTAACATGGGCCCTCTGGACTCTGGGTAACTCCTTCGAGGAGCTGGGAGCGTGAATCTGTGTCTCTCCTCTTCGCATCCTGAGTCACTGATAAAGCCAGAGCACCCTTATTTTTAGTGCTGTTGTGGGACTGTAACCATTAGCCAGTAAGAGACTTAAGGGAGGAGATAAACATTAATCTTCTGGGCCTTCCCCTTAGCTGCCACCTCCGCATAGTAAGATACTGTTCTACATCTGCCCAGGCAGCCAAGCCCGAGGTTTGGGGGTTGGAGTGTGGTGAGGTGAGTGGTCAGAAAGAGGGCTAGTGGATCTGCACCTTTGGGGATGGCTAGCTTGGTACCTCCAACCCCAAGTCCCAGGGAAAGAGGCAGGTGGGTTAGCCCTGACATCCTCCTGGCCAGCTCTTGAAGAAGTGAGCCCCCCTGTACCAGGCAGGCTATTGCTGCTTTCTTGACTACCTCAGCTTCTGAAGGTGCCCTGGACTGAGGAGTCTGGGCGACGTGGGAGTGTGAGATTGCCGGGGGTTCTCCTGACTGCATCCTGGTCAGTGGTCATGCTGAACCCTCAGGCAGAAAGGAAGGTCTGACCCAGATCTTTGGGCAGCTGGCATGGATTAGCTGGGCAGCAGGAACTAATCTCTGCCTGTCCCTACCTCCTCCTTCCACAAAGCAGAGCTGTCATTAGAGGGAAAGTTTGGCACAAAGCTGGAGGTGGTTGGTGAAAGAATAAAGCTGAATTCCTTCTAGCCTATAATCCTCACCTTATCTCAGACTACATTGTCTTAAGCCTGAATTCGAATCCCATTTTTATTCCTTTCCTGCTAAAGGATGTCAGACAAGGTATTTCACATTTCTGGGCTTCAGTTTCAACATCTGTGAAGTAGGGACAATCATAGCTCCTGCCCAGTAGGAGGGTTGTGAAGGTAATGGGAGGCTTTACAGAGGCTCTTTGCTGTTTAGGTAGAGGTGGGCCGGGCAGAAGCTCCCAGTGAGGGAGGGGGAATTGCTTGGCAGGTGTGGATGTAAAGGCATCTGCCTGGGCCTACGGATGCTGGGGTGAACTGGACTGAGACCCCCCCGCCCAAAGCCTGGAGTCTTTTCTTGATGCTCTCACTTTTCTTTATCATGTCATCATAGCACAGCGATGGAGAAAGAGGGTTCTAGGCTCAGACCACCTGCACCCACTGCCTCTGGACCTTGGGCAGTTACTGTAACTGTTGAAGTCTCAGCTTCCTCATTTGTAATGTGCTGGAGCTAAACACACCCCCTACTTTACAGGATTTTTGTGAACATGAAATAAGATAATCATGCCGCTACCTGGCATGTAGTAAATGCTTAGTAAATAATAGTTATTACTGCTGTTGTTGATGTTATTGATAAATCCTTATAAGCCCTTGTTATGGAAGGAACTCTAGAAAGCATCACTCAGAAAGGCCCCACCCTTTGTAGGACTTGTGATTCAGTGAGAGTTGGCAGGGGGCGGGGAGGGGGGTTATCACTGGGTGGGGAAGTGATGTCCACTAAGAGGAACAGGGAAAACTTTGTGAAGGTGGTGACTTTGGGGAGGATTCCAGCAAGGAGAGCGAGTGAAGTAGAGAGTAGCAGTATCCTCTCTTTCTACTTCCTGGAGGTCTACCTTCCTGTGGAAGAAATTGACCAATGCAGCTTGCTTGACCTGGGGACTCTTGCATTCTGGTCATTTCACCAAAATAGAGTAACCCCAGAGCCTGAGTGCCCCAGCAGTGGGTGCCCAGGAGGATCCTGGGGAGAAGCAGGTTTCTGTAAAATGGGTGTCTTAATAGTACCAGCCTCATTAGAGTTGTTATGGGGATAAATTAAGAGATGTATCTCCCCGGTGTAGAAGTAAGCTCTCAGTGAATGTTTCCTATTATTATTTTTTCAAGTCGTCATCTTTGTCGTCAGCACCATTATGTTTTAGGGTTGCCATGAAGACTCAAGTAGAGAATATATGCAAAACTCCTAGCACAGTGGCTGGTCATATAGCAGGTGCTCAATAAAACTTAGCTCTTACAAGTATTTCCTAACAAGAGATTTTGGAACCCTGGCCCAATGAAATCCCTGCAGTAGTGGATTGAGTACTACGGTTTAGTTGAAGACCTGCATACACATCCTGGCTCTGCCACTCACTAGTTTGAGGTGCTTTCCTAAGGCATTTCCTCATCTGGAAAGCGTGGTAATAGCGCCTGTCTCCGGGGTTGCTGTGACTTGCTGCATTAATTCAGTGCACTGTAAAACGTGCGTAGTTGGTGCGTAAGAGTGAACAAGTATGAATAGCCAGGTGGCCACAAATAGAAGGGATGGTTGACGGCTTTTGGTTTCTCTCCTCTGCTTTTAGATCACCAGAAACTAGAACGTGAGGCCCGGATATGCCGACTTTTAAAACATCCAAACATTGGTAAGTGTGCTTGTATAGAATATTTCTTGGGCGTTTTGTAGCAGGGGGTGGAGAACAGAGAGCCACTGCTTTTGTGTCTGGAACGACTTCTTTCCCTGGGCCTTTGCTCCTGGTGTCTTGTTTTTCCCAAGTGGGGAAACAGCCATGTCTTGCTCAGAATTCTGGGACATTGTAGTTTTTAGAGCTAGGAGTCTTCGTACCTACAGTGCCATCCCAGGGCTGGGACGTGAGGTATTGGAGCAGGTTTCAGACACCCTTTCTTTCCTCCTCCTTCCGACTTTGGGCTGAGGTCCAAGGTCCTCAGCGTGTGAGGTTCTGGGCCAGTAGCCTGCCAGCATCCCTCCCCGGGCGCCCTCCATGACTATCATAAGAGGGTCCGGATTTTGTTTCTGGACTTGAAAGAGTTTTGTTCCTGTTGCAGTGTCGTGCACACTTTGGGGGTTTCCATGGTGCTCCTGTTTATATTCCCCAGAGCCAGGAAAGCAAGCTGCCCACCCGCCTGGCTTCTCTGGAGGAGGGATGGCAGGAGCCACTCAGATGGGGAAGGAGAAAAAATGAAGAGGATTTCTCCCTGCTCCCACCCTGACTCGGGGGACAAGAGCACATTGTTGGTTGTTCTAAAGCCCGAGGAGGTTTGCCTGCCACAACCCACTCCGGCTCAGTTTTACATTGTTCAGCCGAAATAGTCTTTGCCAAAAGCGTTGGCCCTGATTTGGTGCTCCTCACAGGGAGGATAGAAACTGGGCTGACTGCAGTGTCTGAGCAGAAACCCCGGTGTTGACTTCAGGCAGAGCAGGGAGCATCTCCCGGGTTCTCTCTAAAAACCCTGAGTCATCACAAAAAAACACATGTGTTCTGTGCTCCTCAGGCATGGCCTGAATGTCAGGGCTCCCTCAGTGCCCCGGAGGCCACCCGCTGTCCTCTGCCAGCGGCCGGGGCTGTGAAGCAACTTGCTGAAGCTTGATGCTTCCTCCAGAACTACTCAGCCTCTGGCTTCCCAGATCTCGGGCTGGGATATTTCACGTGAGCTATTTATGTGGGAGAACTGAGGTCGTACTCCAGCCCAAGGGAAGAGGAGCAGCTCTGAGGTAACCAGAACCCCAACCATGCAGGGCTTTATAGATCGCAATCAGTAGCTTGGATTACACCTGAAGCAGATTGGCATAGCCAGCGCTCGAGTGCTCAGCTTTGCCGGGTGTAGTGTGTTCCACGGAGCCAACAGCTCTCAGCCGACAGTCCTGGGCTTGGAACTTCTGAGGCTCCTGGGTGATCTTTTGAACTTAGACTCACACCTGAAAACTCCATGGTGGGGACCAGCATAGGAGAGAGACAACCAAGAGGAACACCTAGAACAGCAGTCACAAATTCAGGCATATTTAGTTTGGCTCGCTGAGCGGTCTAAAAATACTTTTATTATTTGCCAGTCAGTATTTAAAAATGAGATTTTACATTTTGAAAAAAATTCTGTTCCCCCATCTTTCAAATCAAAAGGCTTGGTTCAGCTGAGCCCACTTTCGTGCATGGCCAGAACCAGCTGGGGCTGGGCAGTGAGGCCTCTTAGCCCACTGGCCCCTGTCCTTGCCATTCCCAGTTACGTCATGTTTACACTGCCTGTGCGGTGCCTGTAGGCTTTGTGAGCTTGTGACCTCTGACCTAGAAGTTCTAGAACAGGAAGAAAAACCTGGGTAATTAAAGCCATCCACAAGCACAGGGCATTTTGGTGTTCTAGTTTTCAGTCTCAGGGTCTGAGGTCAGCAACTTTGTTTCCTTATGCTTCTTAGGACCAATTTGCGGAGTAGTGATGGATTATCCTCATGGAGGAAGGAGAATGAGGGGTAGGGGAGGTGAGGCAGGATAAAGACAACTGAGAACCAACCAGGGAGGACCAAAGATGGGATTCTAACTGCGGGGGGTGGGGGGGCCCTAACCTTTTAAAAATTTTATTTCTAGAAATTAAATAGTATACTTTTTGACCTTTTAGACTTTACTTGGCTTGGTAGCCCTTTCTTTGTACCACCTGCCCCCAACTCAAGAGTTAAGGCAGATGGAGAGACAATCTACTCTAGCCTTCTGTCTGCTCTGTTAGGGAGACAGCAAGACCCAGGCAAGGCCAGGCAAGTCATACTCACTTGCCAGCGTCCGATTGCCTAGAACTGTGCTTCCATTTCATGATTGCTCCCAGATCCTGAGGGATGTTGATCTGAGGCCCTATTCTGGGATCAAGGACAGGGAGAGAAAGGGTGAGCCAGGACTGTGTCCTGGGAGAGCTGGCTGGCCAGGCTGTCTGGCTTCCGCTGGGAACCAGGACTCCAGGAGCTGTGGCGGAGCTGTGGGTCCAGGAGGCCGGGGTTGCCATGGATCCTGACCCGGCTTGTGGCAGGAAAGGATGGAGTTTGTCCCCCTAATTGACTATTCCTCTCGATACCCCATGGCTTTATCCTTTAGAGCTATGGCCCTTTTGGCTTCAGGCTCTTTAACTCCATCCTGCAAGGGTACCAGTGGATCAGCTCAGAGTGGTTCAGAGTTGAGGAAGCTGAGAGCAAAGAGCTGATGGTCAAACTCTGGTTGCTGTCAGACTCAGAAGGGAATTTGATGCAAGGAGTCAGGCATCCCCAGCTTTATTCCCTAGTAGATGCTCTGTCCCAGGAGTGCAAAGCCTGTTGGAAGAGAGGACCCTAATGTAAACTATGGACTCTGGGTGCTGATGATGCGTCATTAGGTTCATCGATTTTAACAATTGTACCACTCTGGTGGGGGAGGTGGGTAGTGGGGGAGGTGGGTAGTGGGGGAGGTGGTACATATGTAGGGACAGAGGGTATGTGGGAGCTCTGTGTACTGTCTGCTCAGTTTTGCTGTGAACCCAAATGCTCTAAAAAAATAGTCTATTAATTAAAAAAAGAAGAAGAAGGGCCTTTGAGGTGTACTGCAGAACCTAAAACAGCCCTAGCAGAGTGGCCAGAGGAGTGGAGTTCAGAGGAGGAGACAGCAGGAGTGCTAATCGTCTAAAGTTTGAGTGAACTGTGTTCCACCTATGATCTGCTTGCTTCCTGCCCTAAATTCCTCTGATGAATAGACTCTGTCTTCCTTCGTCGTGCTGAGCTGCCCCAGCAGTTTCAATCATAGTCCAGCCTTGTGATTTAGAGCAGCACTTCTCAAACTTTTATGTGCTCGTGGATCACCTTGGGATCATGTTAAAATTCAGATCTGATTCAGTAGGTCTGGGATGGAGCTTCCTCACATCTCCAGGTGATGCTCACGATGCTGGCATGTGGATCATATATGTGGAGAAGCAGCGGTCTGTGGCTTTGGTGTCAAGTCCAGGTTTGAACGGGGGACTTGCTGGCTAGTAGCTGTGACTTTTGGCACATTATTTTGCTGCCTGTGCCTTCGTTTTGTCATTTGCGCTTCTTCGTGGAGTTGTTGTGAGAGGGTTCAGCCAGAAAACAAGGTCTAGGAAATAAATGGAGATGAAAACAGATTCCAATGACCAGAAATGATCTCTGCTAGACCCCCAGGCCCAACTCAGTTCACAAGGTATTCAAACTAGGCTGCCTTTGGGCCCAGGATCCATTCAGCTACCAGTAAGTGTATAGCAAAAATAGTTGAAAACGAAAAGAAGGAAATGTTGGATCATAACTGAGCAGCTCCTAAATCCCTCCTCAACACCTTGGGGGGCATCCTCAGTCCGGCACCAGTCCCCGGGCACAGGGCCTCCTTCCTACTATGCTTTGCTGCAGATATTAACAATGACACTTTTTTTTAGTGCTTTTTGACCATGGTTCATTAGTTAAAACATAGCATGTTGTTGTGTGGTTTTAAAGAATTGTAAATAGCCATGATTGGGTTGTGACTTTCTCATACCTTGACGCTATGAAACATGAAGTAGCCCTGGCTGGTGTGGTTCAGTGGATTGAGCGCCGGCCTGAGAACCAAAGGGTTGCGGTTCGATTCCCAGTCAGGGCACATGCCTGGGTTGCAGGCCAGGTCCCCAGTGGGGGGCGTGTGAGAGGCAACACACATTGATGTTTCTCTCCCACTCTTTCTCTTTCCCTTCTTCTCTCTCTCTAAAGATAAATGAATAAAACCTTAAAAAATTTCTTTTAAAAATCAAGTAAAAATATTTGAGTGTTCTTTGTCTGTTCTTTGTTCTACAGTTTGTAAACAATAATTAGGCTTATCACTGTAATATTTTGTACTAAACACTATACTTCTTTTCCCAGATCTTCCAGTCTGTAGGCTTGGTCTGACCTTCCTTGGCCTTCTTGTCCTCTGATTACTGTGGAATGGGCCTGGGGTCAGATTATTCTATTGCACACATCCTTAGCATGCCTAACTCCTACCTCACAGCCCTCAGCACCGTAGTGCTTAAGTACATGCCTGTGTGAATGCTTGTTTAAAGCCTGTCTTCCCAGTTCACCTGAAGCTCCGTGGTGGCAGGGCCAGGTTTCTTGTCTTCACAGCCGAATCCGTGGCATTTACAGCCACGCCTACTGCGTAGAAAGTGCCAAATGGACGTTAATGAGTGAATCAGAATGGCCAGAGCTAGTGGGGACAGGTTGGAGCTCCTTTGCCTAAGAGGATGGAGAAAGTGACTCCCCAATGGGCAATTCTATAATATCAAGCATCTTGATGTCAGTCTGTTTTGGCTTCACGTTTGAGTTCTGCCACTTGGTATGACTTTGTGTGACTTTCTTTGGAGCCTCAGTTTCCTCTCCTGTTAGATGAGGGTAATAGAAGTACCTGCCCCACAAAGTTAATATGAGAATTTAATAAAATAACATGTGTAAAGCACTTGGCACAAGGCCTAGCACATAGAAATGGCTCCAGTAAGTCTTAGTTTTCTATAATTTGGATCATTATTATTAAGAATCTGCTAGGTAGGCTCTTAGAATGGTGCAGTCAAGTTTCTCCTCTTGTTCTCAGTTCCCTATTAATTTTCTTTACAAATGGAAAAACAAAAACGATACCAGTCTTGTTCAGATATGGGCCTTCCGTACCCATCCTTCCTTGCCTCCGTGGAGCCTTGCTCTGGTGCCTACAGCAAGGCCATTCTCTGGGCTGGGGGGCCTGGGAGGGTGAGTCTTCCCCCTGATTCCCTGCCCGGCTTCTTCCCACCTGGGCTCTGTGTGTGGCCTTCCTGGACAAGGGCACGTGCCAGTGACTCCCTGTCGGCATAGGCGCAGGTGCCCGCACTTCCTGCCCTGCTCTCAGCCCTGCTGTGCTGTGCTGTGCTGGGGAGGCTTGGGGCGAGGGTTCGGGGGAGGCAGGATAGGCAGTAGGACTCCCCAGGAGTGGTTGTTAGCATTGTGCTTGCTGTCCTGCGAGCCCGCCACCCTGTTGCTCTTAGTCACGTCCCTAACGAAGCTGGATTTTAACTTCTGGGACAGCTGATTTCCAGGGGATTATTTGTATTACACACTTTAATGCTTTTTAATAGCAAATTTTTAATTAAATGGAAAGTCCTTTTGGAAGCGAGGGAGCAGCAGCCACAGCAGGACTCAGCACGCAGCACTGACTTGGACCGGAGAAGCCCAGTGAGGAGAGCGGTGGCAGGGCCGGGGGGCGGGGGGGGGTGCCTGCGGCAGCACGCCTGGGCTGGTGAGGGTGGGAAGGAGGCAGGGGTCCCGCTGCGGCTCCTTCCTTCTGTTACCTGCAGAGGGTCACAGAAGCAGGAGCTCGTGTGCCCACAGACAGGCAAGAATGGTTTGAGGAGGAGTGATTTTAGAAGTACCACCTGCCTTTGATCCCATTGGTAAATCATAGAAATACTCCGTTTGGAGTGGATTTGGCGTTGAGTGATCAAATCAGATTAAATAAGGTAGGCAATAGGAAGTGTAAACGGTCGTTAGGCCCTGGTTCAAAGCGTGGCAGGCCTGAGTCCTCATTTGTCAAGGGAGGGGAACCATAGAGCCCTGGCGATGGCTTAGTGCCTACGTTTTCTGTTCTGGCTGATCTTACTTTGGTGGGAGGGGACGTGGGGAAGCACCTCAGCCCTGATGAAACGCTCTGACGCTGGAAATGGAAGCTGTCATTTTGGGGCAGGTGGCAGCCTTGGGCAGGCCAAGGGAGAAAAACGGTGATTTCTTTGGATTCAAGAACCTCACGCGTCAGTTTGGTGCCTGGCCATTCCTGAAGTGCTCAGTGAGGTGCTTCTGAAACTGCTGAGGGTTGGGGCGAAAGTCAAACAGAGGGAGCCCTTTGCAACTGAGGTTTTCCATCAGGTTGGTTCAGGTGAGGGAAGGGATAGGAACAGCCAGACTGTCAGCCAAAGCATCACGTTGTTTGCATTAGAATGATGCTCAGAGCTTGGCATTTAATCCAGAGGTGGCTTTGTGGGCAGAAGCTTGAGGAGAAGACCTTAGAAGACATTAGGTTGGTTTTTTGCCCAAGAGGAGTGCGAAGGGGTTCTGTTTGCCAGCCTTCTCTTGCAGTTTGTGAGTTGTCATAGCTCGCTCCACGTGGTGGCCTCCCAGACCCATCTGTGACATCGTTGTAGATGCATTTGTGCATGATCTCTCTCCCTGGCTCCATCACTTTATTGCCTGGGCGTGTGGGCCACTCCACATGTCTTATAGGAAGCAGTAGTGTAGACCAGTCTTTGGAGACAGGTAGAGCTGGATTCACATCTTAACCCACGATATGTTTGGCCTTTGGCAAGATACACTATGTCCCTGAACCTCCTGTGTCCTCATCTCACGGTGGTCGTCAGAAAGAATAAACTTGAAGGCAGGCTCTGTGTCCTTCCTAAATCTCTAAACCAGCTCGCACAGGGTCTGGCACGTAGTACACACTCAATAAATGCCCGTAGAATCAGAAATGTATGCGAAGAGGCTTACACAAGACCTGGCACATAATAAGCACTTAATATAACGGTTCTTGTTGTCTTTGCCTGAACTTGTGCGTTGCCTCCCGTGCTCACAATCCATCATCCTCGTTCCACGTGCCTTCCTGCTGGGCTCGGCCTCTCCCACTTTTTTTCTCCCTGTAATTCTTCTGTTCCCATTACTCCTCTGAAGGAGCTCTCAGGCTCTCCCATCTTGTCATTCTCTGCCCCCTGTGGTGAGCGCCACTACTGCTTCTGTGCATTACACTGTGACACATGTATCCTCCGTCTTGTCTGCGAAGCTTCTCTCTCTCGCCTACATCTGAGGCAGTCAGAGGTGGCGACCAGAGCAGTGACCTTGGGGTCTGGCTGTCTCTGCTCCGCGGCTGCAGAAGCTTGGATTGAGGAGTGCCGCCACTGCTCACTGCCACTCCTTCAGGAGGCAGCCCACCCTGTGAGGCTGGCAGGATGGGGTGGGGGGTGGGGCTGCTGAGGAGGAGAGGAAAAGATTTCCAGGTTTTCTCTCTGTTAATGTCTGTCCCATCTCCTCTCTTGCAGTGCGCCTCCATGACAGTATTTCTGAAGAAGGGTTTCACTACCTCGTGTTTGACCTGTAAGTGCCACTTTCTGAGGGTGTGAAGGCCTTTCCCTTCAGCTAGTTCAAAATGAAGTCTTGGAAAAAGGCCTAAACTAGGTCTTCGGCCTCTGCCAAGGGTCTCTTTCCTTTGCTGGAGGGGAGGAATTTGATTTTGAACTTCCTCTGATAGGGGGCATGTTGCTGAGGGGGTCTCCTTGCTCACTCAGTGCGCCCCCCACCCCCGGGCTCCAAACCCCATGATGGCATTGCTGTCGCAGTCTGTTCAGCAGCACACCTTGTGCAGATGCTTTCTTCTTGTTTCTTGGTGTGTTGTCCTTAGCAGAGAAATAGAACGCAGCTGTTTACATGACCTTAAAAATTCTGAGAACTCGAAGGCAGCTTTTATTAGTTGTAAACTGGGCTCCAATTGGTCTCTTGTCCACTTTGGTTGTGGTTTAATATCTTAAAAGTGGCTCTTCACCTCCTGGAAATGCCTCTTTGGTATTTTCAAGGTGGGGTCACTGTCCGTAGTCTCATTATTCTTCACCTTCAAATAGTAGGTCTGTTCTTTTTGGGCAGCTGTATCTTAATGTTTATGTTGGTCTCAAATCTATGACTTCCTGAGGTCAATTATTTTCTCTTAGATCCCTGAATATTCATCTTTGCCTGAGTATTAGCCATAGGTAGATTATAAACACAAATGTGTAGAAGAAAGGGAGGGCCCATGTTACCCCAAGGAGAAGCCCCATGTCGCTGAAGGACTGAGTGTGTTCTGGGCTCTTGGATGAAATGCACACAGAGTTACGATTTCTTTAAAAGCTGTTCTACAGGATGACCTGTTACCTATTGGGTGCTGGGGTTGGCCAGTTGGCCTGCCTCCTCTGACTCTCTTTGTCTGTTGGTTGCAGTGTTACTGGCGGAGAGCTGTTTGAAGACATCGTGGCCAGAGAATACTACAGTGAAGCTGATGCCAGGTGAGATGAGGGCCCTGTGGTTCAAGTGTGAGTCTTGGTCATCTTAGGGGACCAGGCATTGTGTCTATTTGAGTAGTCTTTGGGGAAGAGCTTGTGTCTGGACAAACATTCTATAGAGCTGAACTCGGGATGCATTCTGTGGGTGATACAAAAAGTTAAAATTCAACACTTGTGGATCAGCTTCCTTTTTTTTTTTTTTTTAAGATTTTATTTATTTATTTTTAGAGATAGGTGAAGGGAGGGAGAAAGAGAGGGAGAGAAACATCATTGTGTGAGAGATATATTAATCAGTTGCCTCTTGGCAGGCTCTTAACTGAGTACCCAGCCCACAACCCAGGCATGTTCTCTGACTGGGAATCAAACCAGTGACCCTTCATTTTGTAGGCCGACACTCAATCCACTGAGCCACACCAGCCAGGGTGCTTTTTGTTTTAAGATTTTATTTATTTATTTATTTGAGGGAAAGGGAGGGAGGAAGAGAGAGTAACATCGATGTGCAAGAGAAACATCAATTGGTTGCCTCTCTCATGCCTCCAGCTGGGGACCTGACTTGCAACCCAGGCATGTGCCCTGACCAGGAATCAAACCTGCAACCTTTCACTTCTCAGGCCAGCACCCAATCCACTGAGCCACACCAGCCAGGGCAGGTTTTGTTCCTTTTTTATTTTTTATTTTTTTCCTGCAAAGCTCTTACAAGTCTCATTTACCCCATCACCCCAAAAGTACCTTTCCTTTGCACTACTGTGTACTTGCCGACATGCCCAGGGGCCCTCCTTATCCCCTTTCTTCCCTTTGACAAATTCTACTATGTATAAGGCATGCTGGGGATGGCCCAGAGATGGAGAAACACAGTTTACATCCCAAAGAGTTAATCATCCAGGAACCTTTTGGGGAGATTTCAGCCTTCATCATGTAGTCTTTTGACCACCATGACCAGTCCCGAGGAGGGGGCTCCTCTGGCCAGAGGACCATTCCTCTGCCACACCTCTTGGCCCCAGGCCCTCCATGGAAGCCCTGGCAGCTCCTTCATGTGACACAGCAGAATTCCTCCCACACCACAGCCCTGGGCGCTTGCTTGGCCTGCCATTCCTGCCTCGGCTCCTCCCTAGCCCAAGTTTTCTCTTGAGGGTGATGTCCTTACAACCTGGTTTTGATCATCCTGCCTGCAGCTTCTCTGGCACATGTGGCAGCTCCGGCTGCCTCTGGAGAGTGGGGGAGCACAGCTTCCTCACCAATTTCTCAACAGAGTGGCCAGTATTTGCTGATCAATTTCAGATGCTTCTGCCTTAGGAAAAATTCTCAAGTGGGGAGATGAATTCCAGTGCCAGCAGGGGAGGACCAGGCTGTGGGGTGGGAGGAGGTGGTGATAGCTCAGGGAGCCTGGCGGGGAGGAGGGAGAGCTGGGGGGGGGGGGGGGGGCGGTGTGACTGTACCAGTGGGCTTGGCCTGGCCCTGCTGGGACACTTCGCACTTTTGCCATTTTTGGCCAGAAGGCTCTCCCTGCTAGCCTGGCTCTGTTCTAATTATACATTTCTGTGGAGACTCGCCTCTTCAGCTCCGTCTTAAAGTCTCTTTGGCCTAGTCTTGGGCTGTATCCTGTAGGGAGGCTGGAGCCTCATAAGCCCCTTTGGCTCTTGTGGAAGCCTGAGTATAAGATTTTAAAGAAAGAATAGTAAGTTCAGGTCACCAGCCCAGCGCCCCCAGACACTGCAAGTCTGCCCCGTATACCTGGTAGTACCCTGTCTGGGTTCCCCATTCTCTAGGCCAGGATTCTTCAACCTCAGCAGTACTGACACTTGGAGCCAGATAATTTTTTGTTGTGGGACCCCCCCCTTCCTGTGCGCTGTAGAGGTTTAGAAGCATCCCTGGCCTCTACCCACTAGATGCCAGTAGCAACCCCCTCAGTTGTGACAACCGGAAATGTCTCCAGGCATTGCCAGATGTCCCTTAGGAGACAAAATTGTCCCCCAGTTTTCACCGCTGCTCTACATCGTCAGCACAGTCTGCCAGAAGTCTGACTGAGAGTGGGGCAGGGTGACTTGAAGTTGGGCAGCTAATTCAGGACTCAGCTCGGACAATTAATACATACACTTACTAAACTCTGCGTGGTTTTAGCCTAATTACCTACAGAAAGAGTGTCTATTATGTTAAGCTATAAATAGTATGAATATTTTAAAACTTAGATAATCTTCCACCTTTTTATTTCAACATGGTTCATTATTAATGGCCTATAACCACAATAAATTATGAGAAATCTTAAAAAAAAAATCATCATAATGTGACTCTGTTATAATTTGTCTTTTTCTGTGCAAAATCATGATCAGAAACGCTCCTTAGGTCCCTGGCCAGTGTGATTCAGTTGGAGTGTGTCATCCCATGAACCAAAGGGTTGTGGGTTTGATTCCCAGTCATGGCACATGCCTAGATTGTAGATTTGCTCCCTGGTTGGGGCTCACATGAGAGGCAGCTGATCGATGTTTCCCTCTCACATCAATGTTTCTCTCCCTCTCTCTCCTTCCCTTCCTCCCTCTATAAAAATGAATAAGCATATCCTCAGGTAAGGATAAAAAATTTAAGGGGGGAAAAAAAAAGAAATGCTCCTTAGGGTACCCTGTCTGGACCCAATGTAAAGAGTATTACATTGTTTCCTAGAGATGTCTGTGTACTCATTTTATCTCCCCTACTAGATGGCTGAGTAGGCACTGGGTCTTACTCATCATTATAGCCTGTGTGGTGCCAAGCACAATAAAGCTTGGTTCTTGCGTGAAGGCACTCAATAAATGTTTAAATAAACATAAGTGTACCCACCCCAAAACAACTCAGGTTTAGTTGGACTCTCCAGCCTAAGTTGTGACTACACACCTCTTCTTGAACAGAGTTACTGTGGGGAAAAGAGGAGAAAGGAAGGGGTTGGATGGTTTCCCCTTCTCAGGGGCCTGGGGTCTCTCTAGTATCTTGAAAACAGAGTGGGTTGTGTTGGGCCTTTACAGTCTGAGGCGGCATGGTGGACTCCGGTGGACCCTGTTTTAGTTGCTCTTTTGCCGTTATCTAGTGAGAGACTCTGGAAAAACCACTTAATCTGCCTGGGACTCAGTTTCTTCTTCTGTAAAATAGGTTAAACTAGGTGATGTCCACAGTCGGGGTTCTAACTTACTGTTCAGTGATTTTCTGTGGACTTGTAAACCTGAGCTACGTGCTTTAGTCTACGGCATGTGGTTGTGAATGAGGTGGTTTAACCATGCACTGACATTTCTTTTTCTTCTGCTTTTGCAGCCACTGTATACATCAGATTCTGGAGAGTGTTAACCACATCCACCAGCATGACATTGTCCACCGAGACCTGAAGGTACTGCTCAGGCTCCCCCTATGCCTCCTTCTTGTGGGGTGTTATTGCCACCTAGTGCCAGATGGTGGTACTGCGAGGGCCCACCCAAGCTAGGCTCCTTCTGGGCCTAGCGGTGGCAGCCTCACAAGGTTCTATCTTTTTCTCCATACAGCCTGAGAACCTGCTACTTGCGAGTAAATGCAAGGGTGCTGCAGTCAAGCTGGCTGATTTTGGCCTAGCCATCGAAGTACAGGGAGAGCAGCAGGCTTGGTTTGGTAAGAGTGACCCTGTCTTCCTGGAATGCAGCCCCCGCCCTTCCTCCTCTTCCTGATCTGCCTTCCTCTTTCGGAACTAGAAGCCAGACCCTTAATGGTCCTGGCCTCCTCAGAGACTGGAGGAGAGGGAGGGTGCAGAGCTCCCCTCTGGCCCTACGTGACTCAATACCGTGAGCCTAGCTGTTGTCAGTGCTGCGGTCTTGCTGCCTCTGGGGAGGACAGTGAGTTCCTGGTAGGCACATGGACTTGCCCTATGATTTGGATTCCGGGCAGGACAAGAATCTGAGCCTGTCATCTCTTGCTGCCGCTGTGCTAAGAGCTTATATAGCAAAAGCATCAGATATAAGAAGGGACTTGGGGAAAATTGCTGCTGTGGATTTAATGAGAGAGAAAGTGGGTTCAGTGTGCCTCTGCCCTCTTTTCTGCTACAGGTTTTGCTGGCACCCCAGGTTACTTGTCCCCTGAGGTCTTGAGGAAAGATCCCTATGGAAAACCTGTGGATATCTGGGCCTGCGGTAAGCCCATTCCACACTCAGCTTTTTGGTGTTAAGGGCCCTTGACTTCAAGTGATGGCGAGAAAAAGACATGGGTATTCTTTGCGGGTTCCACAAGGGTCTGGTACATATGAAACCACGGTGTTTGCTCTAGTGCTCCTGGGATGGCTATTCCATCGCACTCTCTCCCCAAGTACCGGATGTATTCTATGCCATCTTTTTGGCAGAGGGGTTTGTCCATGCCTTTGAGGATGTGTTCTGCCTAAAGAAATCCCTGAAGTGGCCCAGTGTCACGGGGATTGAAGCATACCAGAAAGGGCTAGTGGCACAGCGTTGCTGTCTGGTATCCACTTCTGTCTGTGGTATGGCCCTTGACCTTCTGGGTGGTTCTGAGCCCTGTGTGGCTTTTCTCGGCTTCTCAGCAGAGTAGGTGACTCACCCCAGTGACCTGTGTTCTGTCTCATAGGAGTCATCCTATATATTCTCCTGGTCGGATATCCTCCCTTCTGGGATGAGGATCAACACAAGCTGTATCAGCAGATCAAGGCTGGAGCCTATGATGTAAGGATTGGTTTGTTCCCACACTGTGGGCTCTGTCCAAGGGAGAGGGTGGGATACAGGGAGGGTTGGGGACTTTGAAAGCCCAGGGACGGGCATGCCATTCTCACCATCCACTGTCGCAGGGAGCCACTGTTTTGCACAGCCATTTTTAGTATCTGTAAAATCAAGGAGCCCACTGACACTCGGGCGTGGAGATGTGATGTGCTGCCTAACATAGGGATGGGGTCTGGAAGCTCCCTCCATGGCAGTAGGACCTAGGGCACATCGCTGAATCACTCCAACCAGAAGACGGTGGAGTCCCCTTCCTGCTCTGATCTCACCCTCTGGCTTTCCAACCATGATTACTCTGTCTCCCTGGGCCGTGCAGCTTTAGGTAGCACAGAGTGTCCCCCTGATAGGAGTTGGCATGAAAACAGAGCCTACCTGTCAGCATGTGAGGCTCATAAATTTCATATTTCTCCTGCCCCGTTTCTGCTCCTTAGTTCCCATCACCAGAGTGGGACACGGTGACCCCTGAAGCCAAGAACTTGATCAACCAGATGCTGACCATAAACCCCGCAAAACGTATCACAGCTGACCAGGCTCTCAAGCATCCATGGGTCTGCGTAAGTGTCTTCATCTGAGATGGAGGATGTCAGCCCTCAGCCCTCACTATGCCCTTAGTTACCCCCCTTACCCATCTTTTCATGAGCAGAGGACAGTTATTCTGTGCCCTGAGCAAGGACTCATCAGAAAGAGAGGGGGGCTGGGTGGGGCCCAGGGTCAATAAACATCACCAGGAAGGATTCGAGGAGGCAGATGGGGCTAACTGGCTTCTATCTGTCTCTTTCCCACTCACTTGTCAGATGTGATTTAGTTCTGATCTTGAGGAGAGCATAGATTCACCGTTGCAGACTGTAGGTAATTGACAGTAGAAAGCAGCTGGCAGAACCCAAAGTGAGTTGCCAAACTTAGGGTGCATATTCAGATTCAGCTCTCATACAACTCTAAAGGAAATGTAACTGAGAGTCCACAGAAACAAAAGGGGCCTCTGAGCAATTAAAAAGAGTACCCTGAAGTTCAGTCTTAAAGCTTACCTTGGGAGAGCCCTCTAGACTATCAATGTGGGTCAACATACTCTGTTTTTATATATAATTCTATCAAGCTGAAATATCTGTTTTCAAGCAAAGCAGAGGATCTGCTATAGTTAGGCCTTCAGACAGCCATGATGCATTTATTTATTATTCCTGTGTTCACTGAATGCCGCTTTGGTGTCCGTCACCATGTGGGTGCTGGAGATAAAAAGAAGAATGAGGCATGGCCCCTTCCCTCAAAGATCTCAAAGATTATCTAAGGAAACAGGCACTCAAACAGATAGACTCTGCAATGTGACAAGTACGTAAAAGAATCTAATGAGTGCTTAGGTGCACCTGCTTTCCCTGATGGGCAGTGGGATTACTGAAGGCTGCCTAGAGGAGGTGAGCCCTGTCCTGGTTCTTGACAGGTGACTAGGAGTTCCTCAGGAGGATAACCTGCAGACAGGGGTTTGCTTGGGCCAGGGTGAAATTGTAGCAAGTTTAAGGAGTGTTAGTTTGATGAAGATACGGCTACAGAAGGACAAGAGAATGAAGCCCATAGAAGTTTCTACCTACGGAGTTTAGATTTTATTCTGAAAACATAGGGAACCATTTGAAGAACACTTTGGAGGCTGTGTAGAAAATGGAATTGAAAAGTAAAGAGGCTGAGGAGCAGAGAGCTCAGCAAGTTGTCGTAATTGTCTAAGCAAAACCAGATGAGGTCTGTAATGAGCAGTATGGCAAGAAGAGGACAAATGTGAGATATTTGGGAGGTAGAATCAAAAGAATTTAGTAATCAGTTGGATTTGGGGAGTAAAGAGAGGGTTCTATGGGGACTGCCACGTTTTGAATTGATACCCGATGGAGGGTTGTACCATTCACTGACCCAGAAGAAACCCAGAAAGAGGAGCCAGTTTGTGAGAAAATAATGATGATTTTGGTTTCATACATTTTGAATTACAGTGTCTAAGGACCTTCCACTGGAGGCACTCAGTGGATAGTGAGCAGCGTGGTTCTAGAGGTTAGAAAAGTTAAAAACTGGAAATGCAGGTTGTAGTCGTTTCTGTGCAGGTAGTATTGAGGCTGTGGAAATAGACAGGATTACTGCTATGCTGGTCAAACGTTTGCTGTGGCCTTATTTAAGAGAAGACGTGGCCAGTAAACCTCAGCATTTCATGACAGAGTTAGCGGGGCCTGCAAGGGGGACTGAGAATGAGAGCTTCCGTTGTCGAAGGAGGAGCAGAAACATGAGGTCTCCGTAAGGGAGCATCTGTAATCAGATGCTTCAGAGAGTCCATGATAAAGACAGAAAAGAGTCCATTGGCTCTGACCAGTTAGAGGCCACCATTTTGTTATTTTACCAACAGAGGCAGTGGGGTGAGAGAGACGGATGTAGCCTGTTTTCAGTGAGGTGAAGAGCGAATGGGGGTGAAGGGAGAAAGAAATGGTACTACTTAGAATAGGTGGGTTAAGGGAGTTTTTAAATTTTTGTTTAAGGAGAAGTTTGACTATGATGTATAGACTGTATAGAAGAATATCATCGGGAGTGAGGGGTTAAAATTATTAGCTGATTGAGGAAGCAGAGGCTTGAACAGCTGAACGAGAGAGCAGCTCCCAAGCCCAGGTTGAGGGCTCAGCACTGGATATGAGGGATGACGCTGCTGAGACCCCGGTGGGTGAAAGTCAGCTTGAGGGCGAGGGTGTTGAAGTTGAAGTTCCGTCTTGATGAGCTCTCCTTTCTCTTTGTGGGGAAGTTATACTCTCGAGGAGGTAACGTAAGAGAGAAGGTTGGGAGAGTTGCTTTGGGAACCAGGAAAGGGAGTAGGCCCGGGATGTGGGGCACAGTGCAGGGTGGCCCCTTGGGGTTGTGGGCGTCAGGCTGCACGTGGTAGGTGTTATTTTTCGAGCCGGCTGGCCAAGACAGCAACAGCAAAGGTGGTGAGCAACTTAAAAATGGGCGCTCAAGAATGGGGGAAATACGTTCTGGGGGTCGTTTCGCAAGCCCCACTCTCCACTATCCTGTATATCTCAGTAGCCCCTGAGGACATCACTGAGCTATGCCGTGTAGTAACGGATTCTTGTATGGCTGCTGCCGAGTCATCGAGGAGATGTATATCATGTCCAGTGGCCTCTGTTTAAGGAGGAAGGAAGTTAGCAGTCATACAGTGAAGAAAAACCCCCTTCCTGAATGATAAAAAGAATTGATACTTCAGAAGAAAGATCCTTCACTTCTCAGATCGCAGCTTCTTTGAGGTCCTGTGGGGTATGTTAAGAGGAGTTCGCTGGAAGGAATGAACGTTCCGTGCAGAGAGCAGGAACCTTGGCTGCTCTCACTGCTCGGGGTCTGGAACTCCATAGGTGCTCAGTAGCAGTTGCTAAAGGAGTGCACGCGTGAAGATCACAACACACAGGACGCTCTCTAAGTCCTTAGCTTCCATTTCCCAGAGAGGATGAGAGTGCCCTCTCAGGCACCCTGCTCAAATATTGTGGTGTTTTCACGTTCAGATTCTTGTCCTTACATAACCTTGAGTTTTGGGCAGTACTTTTATTTTAAAAGCATTTTCTCATCTATAACCTCATTTTATCTTCTGAGCAATGCAGGTGACTGAATGCATGGCCGTCATTGCTGGGACTGTGGTGAGGGGATGAGGGTCTGGCTGGGGGCTCACAGGTCTGTCTGTCTGGTTTCCAGCAACGGTCCACAGTGGCATCCATGATGCATCGTCAGGAGACCGTGGAGTGCTTGCGCAAGTTCAATGCCCGGAGAAAACTGAAGGTGAGACTTGCCAGAATCTGGGCTGCTGGTGCCCTGAAATCATACCTTTTGAGAGTCACCCCCTGCCCCATCACAGAAGGAAGCTATGCTATTCTCCTGGCTGGAGCTAAGCAATGAAAGTTGTACATATTGGGGATCTCGAGAGACTTGATGTCTTCAGGCTCTCGCCAGCAGCTGCCCTCTGCCTGAGACCAGGCGACGCTTTTCTAGAGTTTGATTGAATTCATAGGACCCTCTTCTTTCCCCAGGGTGCCATCCTCACGACCATGCTTGTTTCCAGGAACTTTTCAGGTATGTTTTCCCAGCCGTGCACTTTAATTCTACTGAGGTGAGTGGGTCAGAACAGGGTGTTGCCATGCCCTGCCATCCTGGTGCTGGGCGTCTCCGGCAGCACCTCGACCAAGATGCTGAGGATCCTACTGCTGCTGGGTCCTGCAACCTGATATTCTGGGGGCATTTACTTGGGTTCAAATTTATGATTTCTGTTCCCTAGAATCTCCCAAGGAGGAGCCTTCCCAGCCTCCCATTGACCTTATCCCTGGGAATTCTTATTTAATTTTCTGAAGAACTCTTAGCACTTTAAGATGTTAGCTTATCTCTGGGGTATTGGAGGATGAGCTGGGGAAAAGAAAGAGATGAGATGCAGTGAATCTTGTAGTCACCACCAGCAATTTGCAGACTGGGATGATCTCTACTTCATTGTGTCTAAGTAGAGATGACTAATAGAAATTATTCCAGATGTTTAAACCTTTTACAGCAACTGTGCTTAAAATACTCTCTGTGATATTAGCTGTAAAAGTGAAAAAAATAGAGACTAGCAGGATGGAGGGAAAGGCACTTGCTTAAATTTGCATGAGGAATTAGGAAAGTTGGGACCAGTAATTCGTAAATCACACTTGACATTTCTTTTTAAGATGCAAGACACTCCACCTCCTCCCCACCCGGCCCCCATCCCCACCCCAGCATTGTTTGCCCTCAATTGGGAAGCACAGTGGCTTTTCTGTGAGAAAAAGATTAATGTCAGTACTAACTGAAGACAGTTCTCTTCTCTGCTTTCCTTTTTCCTCGGTCCTCCATCCCCTGACCCCCAGCCCCACTGTTTTGGTTCAAGACCCGCTTCTGTCATTCTCATAACAAGCCTAACTCCTTCGCTTTCCTTCTGCACTGCCATGGAGAGGGGCTTGTGTGGGAGGCTCGGGGAACAGCCACTCTGGGGGGGGTTGTTCCCTCGAGCTTCAGTCCCAATGGGCTCGTCTGTGTTGGTTCTGGTAACCTAAAGCCCTGGCTCTGAGGAAGCCGTGGGTGAGGGGACACGGGACCTCCTGAGCCCAAGTGAGAGCCCAGGGGCTCTGGCGGGGCAGGACTGCAGAGGGAGCCAGGGGGGTGTCGCACCACAGGCCATCCCCTTGGCCCTGGTTTGGGGCTCATTCTTGTGTTGCGGGTACCCATGAGGGCAAGTCCACGGTCCTGGGTTCACCTGTCACGAAGGGGAGCAGGAGGGCACAGCTGGCTGCCTCTAACAGGGATGGAGCTGGAATCCCACATCGTGCTTCTTGTCTTCTAATTGCCGCTGCTACTTCCTTGGTTTACAAGCCTTTCTTTAGGACGCTCAAGGGCATTCTGTGCTAATCCTAGAATGGTGACCTGTTCTCTCTCTGAGTGGAAGAAATGTGAAGACAGGCTACTGGGAAATCGATAGCATGTGCCCCATCCCATGGCCTCAGGCCTCTGCATCAACCCTAACCCCATCCGTTTCAGGAAATCAGTCTCTCTGATAGAAATCGGCACTAATCCCTGAAGAGCCTTCTGTCCTTGCTGCCCAGACCTCATCTGGCCTTTGCATTCACTTTGCTCTGGGTCAGAGGAGACCAAAAAAAAAAAAAAAAAACAACAACAACAAAACAAAACAAATACTGCCAGCACTCCAGGATGACCTGTTCTGCCCTGACTCTGGGACAGGTGAGGACAGAGTCTGTCTCCAGAAGCTTCTGCAGAAGGAGGTGTGGACAGATATAATCCAGAAGGAAGGTCACCTGTGTGTTTCTTTAGAAACAAGCTGGGCTGTTTGCTGAATTGATCCCAGACAGGGCTGTAGCTCAGCCCGGAAACCTAGCAGGTTGGCTGATAGTGAAATCAGGGCTTCTAGAATGTATTGCTTCAGCAACCTTTGTTTTTTTTTTCTGGGGCCTTGTTTCTTGGGCATCTTTACCCTTGGAACGCTTGAGAAATAGTGGCTCTTTGCCTGAAAGAGGGAAAGCAACCTGTCTCTGAGGAATCGGCGGACATGGAACATCCGTGAATTTGGCTGCTCATGGGCCATGGTCCCTTCCTGGGCCCTGAGGGCCAGTCTCTCTATTGTTTGGAAAGTGGCCAGAGGAAAGGGCTGCCCTCGGCCCTGGGCTCTGAAAATGTCCTCACTTAGGCCCCCTAGGGAGGAAGGTTGGAAAGCGCGGCTGTTTCCTCTTAGCCTTACGCTAGGGCTGGACTACCTCGGAAAGGACACTGCCTTTCACCAATTCAGGCTTTTCCCTGTAGACCCTCACCTGAGGTGGTCACAGGACAGGTGCTGAGCCATTTCCACCAAACTGAGCCATGGCATCCCCTCCGCCCCATCTGAGCCCAGTCCTCTCAGGTCCCCAGACTGCTGCAGGGCTGGCTGCACCTGTTCCTCAGCCTGCCCCCAGCGCCTTCGCTCCTCCAGCTCGGCTGGCTTGGCCACGCCGCCCGGACCCTGCTGGGCGGCCAGCGGGTTCCTGCGCCTCGCGCTGGGGCATGCTCGCTGCTGACTGGCCCCCGTGGCTTTGCGGCAGCTCTGTGCACTGAGAGATTGTATCCCCTCAGTTGGCAGGCAGAGCTCCGCCCCCGCCTCGCCTGCCGCGAGCGCCGCCGGCTTGGCCGGGCAAGGTACGTGGCATGAGTCCTCCCTGACCGCCTGCCTCGGCTCCCTGCCACCCCACCAGGAGGGCCAGCATGCCAGGCCCACTCACCAGGGAGGCGAGTCCCATGCTTGCGGGCTGAGATGGGCATGCCGGATGGACCACCTAACTTGGCATCTGCGAGCGCATTGGTGTTTCAGAGCCCCCTAACCAGCCATGCATGCTGGGCGCTTGCCAACTCTCAGGAGGCAATAGCCTGGGGACATGGAGCTGGGCAGCAGGAGGCTTTCCTCCAGATGGCCTGAGAGCCCGGCCTCCGTGAGGCTGCGGCTGAAGGTGGGCCCAGCCACATCCCTGGGTGTGCTAGGACTAGACTTCAACAGCACTGTTGGAGACCCCACAGAGGAAGCCACACCCCTCAAAATTGTGAAGTCTGGTATTTCAGGCCTTCCCTCCGGAAGGCTATAGAGTGCAGAAGCTGTGGAGACCGTGTCCCTGGGTTTGGATCCTAGCCCTGCCACACCCTGACCAAGCCACATCAGCTCTCCCAGCCTTAGTTTTCTTACCTCTCCAGTGGGGCTAATAAAATATCATGGTGATGACTATGATCATGTACGTTGAAGGCTCTCACGCTGCCTATACAAGACAGTGTGTAAAAAATCCTGATGCTGAGACTCCACCGCAGACAAGTAAAATCAGAATCCCTAGAGCATGGCATAGGCGTAAGCATTTTTTTTCTTTAAGTTCCCCCAGTGATTCTGATGGGCACTTGGAGTTAAGACCTCTGATGTACATAAAGCACTTAACACAGTAGGTGGTCAGGCATAGTAGTAAATACGTAAAAAACATAACTCCAAACATCCTAGCATGACTGAAAGTAGGACCAAAGGCCATTTTGCGGGGGAGCATTCAGAATTCTTGTGGAGGAAGGACCCCTATTCACCGTGTAGAGAGATGGGACCCAGCTTGGGTCTGAATGACGACCTGAAGGCAAGATTGGCAGCAGCAATAGTAACAGCAGTTAACAATGAGTACTTGCTACGTGCCAAGCACTCTGCTTAGTGCTTTCATGCATGATTCCATTGGGTCCCCATCACTGTCCCGTGACCCAGGCCCTGTTTTATCCCATTTTGTAGATTAAAAACAACAAAACAGAGGTTCAGAGACGTTAAGTAACTCACTCAAGGTCACACAGCCAGCAAGTGGTAGAACTAAGATGCAAACCCAGCGAAGTCCAGTGGATCAGACAGTTGGGCTGATTCCATATCCTTGTGCCTCCCAGACTCTCCCGTTCACTTTCTGCTACCAGCCTTCCCGCACAGAGCTCATCAGCCTTGAGCATCAGTCACCCTGTGCTGGCTAGATTCTATTTAATACCTTTTTGTTCTGCCCAGTCCTGCTCAGTGGGTTCAGAGAGTGGACTCTGAGGAAAGGGTGGCAGACAGGCCCGGCAAACCTGGTGAGGACCTGCCCAGTCAAGGCTTCATCCCCTGGCAAAACCCTCCTGTAGGTGGTCCTGGTCTCTGTGTCTGTGTCTGTCTGTCCTTACGTATGGTCTCCTTCGTGAACTGTGACACTCTTGGCTCTTGAGAACACTCAGGAGATGTCTTGCATCCTTCCAGCTTGGCCATCCTGAGAATCTCCATGACACCTGGGGACGGAGCCCTCACCTTTCACCCTGGCACTGTGCTTCTAGGCCTGGGTGAAAGCTTTCGGGGGCAGAGCTCCCAATGGCCCAGGAAGCTCCGGTACTGAATGTGGTTTCTTCTCCTAAGCATAGTGTGTCCCTATTTCTGCTGAGCCCTCTTCCACAGCAGAGGAGATCCTTGGGTGCCACCCTGAGGGTCTGATGCTGCTTGAGAGGTCCTTCATGCTTTGGGGCTACCAGGCAGGGTGTTGCTTTCAGGGGTCTCAGGAGACTCCGTGGCCCCGTTTTCAGACACAGCAGTCTCTTGTGGATCCAGCTGCCAGATGTCAGGTTGAAGAAAGGGTACAATGTAAGAGACTTGATTTTCTTCTTTGTTTTCACAGCTGCCAAAAGCTTATTGAACAAGAAGTCAGATGGCGGCGTCAAGGTAGGTGTCTCCACCCTTTTAACCTGAGTCTGGCCTCTCTCCTATAGACATTTTTGGGAATTCTTGGCACCTTGTTCCCCCTTTCCTTGGGAACCTTCCTATCTTTACTTTCCTGCTTTAAACCAGACATCTTTGTGTTCTGAACGGCAGGTTCCACTGGCCTGAGAGGGCAGACAGGAGATGTGTTTCTCCTGACCCTTGCTGATCGGAAAGGCTCAGGGAAAGTGACCCAAATTATAGTTCACTAGAGCTAAATCCTGAGCTTGATTTCCAGACAGGTGCCTCATTCCCAGGGCTGACTCTCTGGGTTTTTTAGTCGTTTGGTTAATTTTTTTCTCTTTTTAAAATACAAACCCGTTTTATCAAATGAAAGCAAAGTTTGTCTGATTGACTCATTATCCTTTTGGTCTCTCTTTATCTTGAAGCACTTCCAGAACCCAGCTCAGGTACCACTAAGTGAAAGAGTCTTAAACTCTCTCGAGGCACACGCCCCTCAGAAACAGGTGAGGGACATGGCGTATCACAATCTGTCCCCATTCGGTAAGGGAGCTTTGTGGGATCAGGGAAAGAGGAGGGAATAGGAGCCTGTGGGGACCAGGAGGAAACCCTAGTGAGGGGTTGCTTGGCCAAGACAGAGGACAGGTGGCTGGGGGGTCCTCACAGGGCCCAAGGCATTCTATAGATGCTTCAGGGACAGAAAGGGTCTTGGGACTAGGGCCTTGGATAGGAGTTCACGCTATTGAAGCCTACCAGTTTATGCCATGGTGAAGAATTTCAAACTGTGAAATTACCCAAACCTTTAAATTCCAGCAAAAGTTTAAGTTGGGTCTTTTCCCGGGATCTTATGTCCCCAGCTGAGGTGTATATGTGTGCCCCATTTCCTTCTCCCCGACCCATTCCTCTTTCTGTCATTCTTTGCATATCAGCTTCTGTGTACTTCTGTCTCAAGGAGGGGAGCGTGGGCTCTGCGCACGCCTGTTGACATGGAGCTGGGATTGACTGGCAGCCCCCCACCCCTCCAAGTTACAGGACCATGAGCTAGATGAGTGGAGCCAACATAGAAAAGATGATAGGTTTAGCTGAAGAGAGATTTTGCATATTTCTCTTTGGGGAAGAACCTACAGTCAATCAACCTTTACAAAGTATTGAATAAGTACCTATCCTTCCCAGTGCTGCACTCAGTTCTAGGGCACACAGAGGTATAGGAGGTGATGCTTTAGGGAGAGGTGATGCTTTAATCTAGCATTAGAAAGTTACAAAGTTAATTATAGAGGAAAATGGACACACCTGGAATCAACTAAGCACTGAATGGTATGTGGTGCTGGACCCTACGTGAGCTGGTTCAGTTCATGAAGCTTCTGGGAAAAAGCTCATTAGAGAAAGCTTAAGGATGTAGGAAGACTTGAACCAAGTCAGTTACTTCTAGGGAATGGGATTGGAGGTGAGGACAGGGTAGGGAAACATGCCTTTTGTTTTCTTTGTACGCACCTGTTTTCTTTACAATGAGAACGTATTCTATAATGTAAGAACAACAAAAAGTAATTTTATGGTTCTGTTATCCATATTGATGCTTCCTGCCCAACTGGAAGACGGGGGGTGTGGCAGAGGGATGTCAAAAGCACAGCTGGATTGGTCTGGTTGGGCAGAGGAATTGGAGGTCTGTATGTTAGACCACAGGAAACGCTAAAGGCCACTAGGCGGGGAAGCTATGGCAAGAGTGGTGTTTCTGAAAGGGCAAATAGAAGAGTATAGAAACTGGATGCGGTGGTATCAATTAGCATTTGTTGTAGTCTGGGTGCAGGGTGAAGGAAAGGTGATTATAAATAGAAAGGGATAGTATATATTCAAAATAACCACCAGAAGAGCACAGGCACCAACCAATCAGAATAGGTGTTGCCTGTGAGTTATGAGTCTAGCTGTACCCACGAATAAAATGCTAGGCTCTGATTAGGCATTAGCTCTGATTAGAGGTGTGTCAAAGGAAGGGGGATTTTAAAAGGATCCATCAATGATAATATCGAAGTTCTCGAATGTTGAAAGAACTAGTGGTGCCTCTGCTAGAACTGGAAGTCGTCGTGAAGGAATGCCCGGCTTGCAGGGGAGAGTTTTGTATTGACCAAACTGAGATTGAGAGACAGGTGGAGATCTGGGTGGAAAGGCCTTTAAAGGTGCTGGGAAATACCTGGTGTAGCCCAGGGAGGAGGGGCAAATGGGGTCTGGCATGAGCGAATCACCAGAGTCCACTTACTCAGCCAATCCTGTGCCTCAGGGGTTGGGAAGGCAATGACATAGTCCACCTTATAAGTGTTCACAGTGGGAGAGAGACAGGGAGGCCATCAGTTCTGGTGCGCCCTGGAAGGTCTGTGAGGAGGCAGGCACAGGGAAGGTGCTCGGGGTGCAGAGAGACCAGCATCAGAGCCAGAACTGGACATTTTCCTGAGGTAGAAGGCCCATGAACTGAGTTTGAAGGATTAATCGGATTTTGCCAGGTTAAGGAGGAAAGAGGAGGAGGAAGAATATTTTAGACAGAGGGACACGTGTGTAGAGATACATAAATTTGAATAGCATGATGATTCTGGGAACTTTAGTACCTTCTGTGTGGCTGAAGCAAAGAGCGATTGCGCACAGACAGACCTGAAATAAAGCAGTGACAGCAGAGACGGTGGTGAGAGGGCGAATGAAAGAGCCGTTAAAGGACACATTTCTAGCAGAACTTTCTAGATGCTGGCCCCAAGGATGGCTGTCAGGTGCAGCCATGTAAGGTTGGCCGAAGGAGCTAATTAAAGATATACAGATTCCAGGGTCTAACCTAGAGATCAGATTCAGGAAGCCCTGTTTGGGAGGTAGAATGTGAATTTTAAGAGTACTCTCCTTTCCCTTATGACTCCAAAGCACATGAAGGATTAAGGGTTCAATAAAGGCAAAATTGGGGCGTTATTTGTTATTAAGGAGCTGGAAAAGAAGAAGAATCAACAGAGGAAACACAGAAAGAACAAAGAGGTGGGAGAAGAACAGAGGTGTGCAACAATGTTGGTCCTTCCAGGAACACAGAAGGATTGAGGGCTAAGTGAACAGAATCATTCACTTGCTTTAAATGAAAACATATGTGGGGAACCCAGCCCAGTCAGTGTCTGACCTGATGTGCTCAGTAAATGAGTTTGATTCTAGAGAAGACTTAGAATATAGTGGTGGGACCAGAGGCTAAGATGCAAGTGTTTAAGAAGACAATGACCAACCAAAATTAAAAGGCCAGCAACAGACAGGTTGGGGAAAAAAATAACAGCTGGCTGGTTGGAGGAGTTAATATTATTTTTATACAAAAGAGCTTTCTCTTATAATAAATAAGAATCCCCACTACAACCCAACAGATGATGTTCAAAGGAGGTGAACTGACAATCTGAAAAAGAGAAAGTAGAACTGGTTCACATATATGGATGTCTAGCCTCACTAGTGTTGGAGAAATGCAAGTTGAAACAAAGTGCTGTTTTTTACTCTTAGTTAATGATAAATTGGAATGACCTTTGGTGAAGCAACCTGTGTATTAAAAACCATAAAAGTGTTCCTGCCTTTTTTACCCTTTAATTCTACTTCTGGGAGTTTATCCTAAAGATATAATCAAAATACGGAAACACTGAAAGCAGAAAGATGTTTAACATGACATTATTTATAACTGTGAAAATGCTGGGGATGGTCTCAAAAGCCAGTCAGATAATGACTAAAAAAGAATGGGGAAGCCTTAATAGGCCATTACAAAGTTATTGTCGTGATCATATAATGACAGAAATTGTTAAGTGGGGTATAAAGCAGTACATACTCTAATACCTAAATTTTGTGTTAAAAAACAGTATGTTTATAGGTTATATTCAGTATATAATATATGGATAAAAACTAACTGGAAGGAAACCCACTGGAGTATTAATAATAACTTCACTGGGTGATGGGAACTGGGGAAACTTTTATACATTTTTCTGTGTTTTATACATTTTTCACCTAAATAGTGCATTATTTTAAAAATCAGTAAAAATCAAAATACTATTTATTTTAAAAGTAAAGCAGTGACCAAGTAGCTTGGTTGGAGCATTGTCCCAATACACCAAAGTTGTGAGTTCAGTCCCCTATCAGGACACATACAAGGAGCAACCAGTGAATGCATAAATAAGTGGGACAGATTGATGTCTCTCTCTCTCTCTTTCTCTCTCTCTCAGGCATCCCCCCACTCTCCACCTTTCTTTCTCCCTTTCACCCCTCTTCCCCTCTCTCTGTAAAAATCAATAAATATATTTTAAAAATAAAGCATAAACTTGTATATAGCTTATAATGATTTTTTTAGTTGTATAAGAAAAAGGACTAGCAAGAGTGATAAGGTTATGGGTATTTGTTTTCCCCTCTTTTCTCTTTTCCAAATTGCTTGTAATGTGGCTGCAGTACCTTTATAATCAGGTACACGTATATGGCGTTTAATGACATGGTTGGACAAAAAGTAAGATGTGTGAGGTTTGACTTTTCTGGGCCCTCCTGAAAGTTGAGGAGGTAAGTTATGAGTGAGGCCTGTGAGTTGCTCAGATCCTGAGCTGTCAGCATCTTGGATCTTTTTACCCCTCTTTGCCAGGCTTCTCCTTCCCCAGTGCCGGCTGCCTAAGGTCCATAGAGTGGTTTCCTTCCCACGGTCCAGAAGCTTTCACAAGATGCATCAATTTGAGCAGGGAGTCACCTTTGCGGTCTTGAACTTGGAGACCTCAAGTTCTAGTTGGTTACTTTGAATGTGGATGCCAGTGACTCAGGGTCTATGGAAGGGTAAAAGCCACTTCTTAGAATAAGACTTGAGGGGTTTTAGTATGGAGAGGAGGTTTGAACCCTTTTGTGGTTTAAAATTTTAAATAAATATTTAATTTTTAAGTATAAGTGAGATATGGGTCTTTAGAAATAATCTGGTATTTAAATAGTGCTGCAGTGTGCTGTTTGAGAAGGAACCCACTGTGCATGGCTAAGGGCAAAACCCGTAAAGGACAGAGAGGAATTTAAAGAAGTGTGCTCACCTATTGAAACTAACCCTTGAGTTAAAAAGGCTTATCTCAGGTTTTCTTGCAGGACAGTTTAGGGAAAAGGGAACCAGCTAGGAGGAAGTTGGGAACTTAGTCCTCTTTAAGTAAAGCAGAAAAACTGAAAGTGCTCTCCCTAACGCAAGGTCCAGGTAAAAGCAACCTGCTCTCACCTGTGTGGACAAACCCTTGAAAATCAGTGGAACCAAGACTGGGCCTGGTTTGTGCCCCTGCAGAGTTTCACTGATCTGATTCTGGGCAAGTTAGAAACCTGTGCTCTGCTTTTGCCTGGGGGAAAACCAGTCAGCAAACCCAGTTCAACTGAGTTTATTGATCGTATGCTAACTCTAAGGCATTCTGCTAGGCACCACAGAGATTACAAAGATAAGTAAGACATGGACCACCTCTCTTCAAAGTGTTAGCATTCTAGTTGGATAAAGGGAAGAGATAGGTGTGGATGTAAGGCAACTCCTTTTTGAAGGATGATTTTGAAAGTAAAAATCTCAAATACCAGTATTTGGGTATATATAAAAGGCTAATGCAAAAGAGTCCTTTTATATTAATTATATTTAGGCTTTTTAAAAAAAGTATTTAGATCTAATTCTAAATTGTGGACTATTCTTTTAAATACTTATAGTCCTCTTTTTTTAATGTAATGCATTCCCAAAAATGTCTTCTGAAGTCGAGTGTCAGGATATCCAGTGTAATTGAAGGGTTTTACAGTCTTACGGTTTTCGGCTTGGAGGAGGCTTAGGTGCGCCTTCCTTCGGTTACCCCAAATCCAGGTTCATCCTGGACCAGGCGCCGCCGCTATGCCACCAAAGTTCACCCCCAATGAAGTCAAAGTTGTATACCTGAGGGGCACTTGTGGGGAAGGCGGTGCCACGTCTGCCCTGACCCCCAAGATTGGCCCCTTGAGTCTATCTCCAAAAAACGCTGGTGGTGGCATCGCCAAAGAGATGTACCAGTAATTGGAAGCGTCTGAGGATTACAGTGAAACTGACCGTTCAGAACAGACAGGCCCAGACTGAGGTAGTGCCTTCTGCCTCTGCCCTGATCATCAGACTCCTCAACCACCACGAGACAGAAAGAAGCAAAAAATATTAAGCACAGTAGAACTATCATTTTGATGGGATTGTCAGTTGCTCGACAGATGCAGCACCAACCTTTAGCTACGGAACTCTCTGGAACCATTAGAGAGATCCTGGGGACTGCCCAGTCTGTGGACTGCATGTTGGTGGCCGCCACCCTTATGACACCATAGATGACAGTCAGCAGGGGTGCAGCGGGGTGCCCAGCTAGTCGGAACTACGAAGGAAAACATTTCAGTTAAAGACATTTCGACGACAAAAAACCGAGTGTCTGCTTCTTGAGGGCAGGAACGTTTATCTGACATGTTAACTGTGCCTGGAACAGTCGTTAATAAGTTCTTTTTTGGTTATTGTTAAATGAACATGCAATAGGCAAACAGCAGACAGGCATGGTCCAAGGGGACTTCTGTCTCCCAGAAAGCTAATTATAAAATTCTTAATTACTTTTCACCTTTCAGACACAGTCTTCTGAAATGTACTTTCACTGTTCCACACAGCCTTTATTTTTATGCTTTTTTATTTTTTACATCTGAACATAAAGTCCATGAGCATCTGGTTGAAGTTGAGAAATCGCTGCTCTCAGCATTCCCCGTGGTTTACCTCTCTGTGTCTTTGTGATCAGTGTACTTTTAATCACCAGCACTCCTGTTTTTCCATTTCCCACTAATTGCAAAATGCAATAAAATGTTGAAATCTTATAAATGACGGTGGCCATACCGATAAAGAAAGGGATGCCCAAATTTGTTTGTTAGACAACTTTCAAAAGCTCGACATTCTTATCCAGAAAGCAGTTTAGGGGGGCAGCAAAAAAAGTTGAGGTTTAGAAGTCTAATGTTATTAATCTGAAGATGGCCTACAGTATCTTTTACTAATTTACCTGGTAGCTGCTCACCCGAATTTCAGGCAGGCTTAGTAATAAGAGCAAATAATTAACCTTATAGGTGAACTAACTTTATAGGTCCCAAACCTGTACATTTACAGTAAATGTTACTTACCCAGACTTGTGACTTAGTCTCCTCAAGAAGCTTTCTATGAGCAAGGCTGAGACGTGTCAGAATATACTAAGTCTGTGCTTGTGAACCTGACAGCAAAGGAATTCCTCTCCCAGGGTCTGGAGGCCCTTGCGTGCCTGGCGGTCTAGGTGCTGTTTTAATCCTTGGGATGCTGGACTCCAGGTCTCTTTCCGCTCTTTTCTCGTGAAACAGAGCCTACGCTGGTGCACTAACCTGCAGCGTCTGTGCTTCTCTTCTTACCTCCTCTTTCCCGTTCTCTTTCCCTTTTGCTATGGTGTGTCCAGAAAAGGAAGTCGAGTTCCAGCGTGCACCTAATGGTGAGCCTTGCCTGCCCACCCATCCGCCCATTCCATGCTGCCTGTGCCCGCCTGCCAGCCACGCAGACCCATTCTGCCATGTGCGTGTGCTTCACTCATCCTCACTGCATGTCTGTGCTGTGTGGGCAGGTGTGGCTTTCCTGCCAGGCAGGGGCCATTGCTCAAGGTCCCCCAGTGGCCTAAAAAGTGGGCAATGGAATGTGTGGTATGGCACCCCCTGCTGCAGAGCTTGGACTCCTCCAGCAGCCCAGGGCAGGAAATGAAGCTGGCAGGGACTCGGGGCCAGGTGACAAGCACAGGGAGAGACCCTCATGGTTGCTCAAGAGGAGAGGCCCTGCATCCTGGGCACAGACAGCCACTTTCTATAGTCTGGCAGCCAGTGGGCATCTTGTGTGTGGGCAGGGGAGCTGGTTGGAGGCTCATGGCTCTGAACCTTGCTTCCCTGGCCTTTTTCCCTCGTGCAAGTGCCCATTAGCAGTGCCCAGTGTTTATCCTTCCCACCCAGCCCTCAGGGGGAATAGTTGAAAGACAACAGGGAATGCATCTTCTTTCTCATGGGACACAGGGCACCAAGAGGAACAGGCAGCCTGAATTATTAAGAAACTGTCCATTAAAGCTAGAGGTGGGGCAACCTGGGTGACATCTCAACCCTCTACAGATATGGCAGGTTTTACAAACACCCTGGAGTCCTTGCACCATGCCAGAGTCTTTGTCTCAGCTGGGCTTGGCAGGCGAGACGACCTGATGCAATCAGCCCCACGCAGGAGGTCAGTGTCAGCAGCTGAGCTGGGAGGGCTCTGCTTCTTCCCGGAGGGATGGAAGAGAGCAGAGCTCATGTGAGTTCAGATCCATGTTCTGACTATTCCTGGAACCCCTCTTCTCCAGCCTGCAGAGTGTAGTGGAGTCTTATAGCACGCGGTTCCTGGTTTGCGGTTCCATGCCTAGCCCCAGGTTTGGGGATGCCTCAGTGAGCTAAAGGTGGATGCCTTCAGGTGTGGTCCAAGAGGCTGTAAAAGAGGCCTGCAAGCTAGAAAACAAAAACAGTCTGGATATCTTCCTGCCTGTGTGCGTCCTCAGTTGTGCCCTGCACAGGGACAGTAGCCATGCATTTGTCCCTGTGCCTGTTGAAGAACTCACAGGCTCCAGGCTGCTTCTTGGTGGCCATCGGCTCCACTGGGCCTCCCATTGGATGAGGCAGGGAGCATTGATACGACTCCCTGCCCTAGGGATTGGCCTCCTTCCTTCCTTGCCATCCTCCCCCAGCCGCCCTTGCTGTGTGACTCGGTGTGACATTTTGAAAGACAAGGAGGCATTCTGGTGGTCTGCTGTTGCAATGTTGGCCTGAAGATCAGCCTACACTTTCCTGGGGGCTAGGTTCTGGGACTGCAGCCACAGCCCCACCTGGATTCACCTGCCCCTCCTTGGAGCTCTGCCCTTGCTGCCCGCTGACCAAATCCAAGAGCTATCAGGCAGGAAGGCCAACAGCACAGTCCCGTCTCTGCTCCCTGGCGTCAATAGATGTATTTTGTAATCAAAGCCAAATTCCACCCCTTTCCTCTCTGGACACTATCTCCTGGACCAGGTTTTCTTTCTCTCCTTGTTCCTCTTCTTTTCAGGCTTTAAGCTGGTGTTTTAAGGGAAGGAAATGCAAGGGGCAGGTTAAAAGGGCAGCAGGAAACTGCCCACAGATAGGAGACCCAGAGTTTCTGAGTCTTGTTCTGCTTTCTTATAAACCACCTTCCTTTTCCCCTTGTAAAATGAGAAGATCCTGAATTGCTTTGGGTGAGGTATGGTTGTGCGGTGACATGGCATCAGGCATAAGCAGAGATTTCTGGAGAGATGCTTTAAAACAAGTCTTTGGGCTGGTCCCACCTTGAGGATACTTCCAGAGCCAGGTCTCTGGACTCCTCCAAATACTCCCCTCCTTCAGTCATCTCTCCAGCCATTGCTCCCATTCACATAGAGTTATGGAGGTCACCTCAGCCCCAGCTCCTCTAGGCCAGGCCAGGGGGCAAGGGAGGTCTGGGAGTTGGACCTGAGGGGCTGTGGTGACTCTAGAGGAACTAAACGGATCTGTTTTCTTGTCTCAGCCACAGAGCAACAACAAAAACAGTCTCGTAAGCCCAGCCCAAGAGCCCGCGCCCTTGCAGACGGCCATGGTACCTCCTGACTACGGCTTCTCCGCCCCTGCCCCTGGCTGCCTCCCGCTCTTTCCTGCTTCCTCTTCTTGCCTTCCCTCCCAGGGCCTCTTTGGCCCTTTTCCTTTCTCGATCTCTCTAGAGCAGGCTGCCGTGCATACTGCGAGTAGGCCCCTTCCTCTTCTCATTGTCCCACTTGGCCATGCTCTTTCCTGCACGGCAGAACTGCTACTCCTGCTCCTTTTGCTGCTGTGGGGGGAGAGTGATCAGGGCTCTCAGCTAAACCTCCCAGCCCCAGGCTGGGCCCCCAAGTGGGTCTGCTCTGGGCTCTGGGAAGGTGAGCTGCTTATAGAAGAAGAGGGTAGGAGCTTTCTTGGGACCTGTACATCAGCTCTTGGAGGCCTCCTTATAAAATCTGCCTCAGCCTCTCCTTTGCAAAGCCATGAACAGGAAAGAGGGCTGGGTTTCCCCACCTGTGAATGGTGCTGATCCCTGGGTTTCTGGAGAGCCCACGCTGCCCGTGCTGTCTTGAGTTTTCTCTGGGCTCATCCAAGGGGCACTGTGTGCTCTCAGAACTCCCTCTGCTTAGTGATGGCTAACTAGAGTTAGCAGGGGGATGGCAAGGAAAGACTGAGGGGCAATTGTGCCTGCTATTCCTTCTCCTTCCCATGGACCCTCATGCTGCTTGACATGGTGATGTTCAGGAACTCTGGGGAAGGCAGAAGGTGGGTAAAGCAGGCAATTCTCTGGGCTCAGTTTGCTGAGGGGGCACCCTGGCTCTTTCTGGGAAACCTTAGTCCATTGGCCCTGCCTCCTGCATACCCCTGTTGAACAGTGTTGGCAGGGTCCAGCCTGCGCCCTTAGCCACCCATAAGCTCCTCCAGCGTCCTTGTCCCATGGGGAAAGAAAACTCAGAACTAGCAGGAACCAGAGACAACTTCCCTGATACCTGCTTCCATTAAGTGCCAGGCCTCTCCTCCTTACCAGGTGGTGCTATCCCCTAAATCTGGGGCTTCCCAGCTACCTAGGACCTGGTTAAGTCAGGGCGTTTTGGCTTGTGAGAATGGCTGGTGGGCAGGCCTCCTCAGTGGTCATCCTAAAGGTCTCTGAGGGTACAGAGGTAGGGGTGGGGGTCCCTCAGGGAAGAGCAGGAAGCCTGTTCTCAAGGTCAGGAGGGTAATTTTCATCTTCTCTCACAGGAGCCACAAACCACCGTGGTACATAACGCTACAGATGGAATCAAGGTGAGTGGATCCTGAGCCTGCCTCCTGCCTTCTGTGTCAGCAGGAAACCAGGGCTGGGTCACAGGGTCTGAGGGCCCTGTAGATGGCAGCCCATGGGCTGTACGTCCAGGCCAAGGTGTCTGCAGAGGCTGGGCAGTTTGCGACTCCATTCTTGGCGACGCTGCGCTCAGGCTCAGGCTTAGACTGTCAAGTTCTGTCAACAGTCAGACAGGCCTGGGTTTGAATCTGGGCCCTGAGCCACGAGACACCTGTTACCTTATCTGTAAATTGGGGATAACAGTAATAGGATTTTCTTCCCTGACTTGTGAAGCTTAAGTGAGAATAAGCGTTAGCTAGAAAATGGAACAAGAATATAATTAGGCCTGAGAGCATTCCCCTTGGCCTCGTCCTTTATGCCCTCAGTAACCTTTTCACTACCTTTCAGTACCAGTAGCAAATATACAGGGAGCCCCCAGCCATCCATGGCTCAGGTTTACAGAAATGACAAGACAAAATCCCTCTCCGCAGGTGTAGGGGAGGCAGATAATAAACTAAAATCCAGATAAGATAAAATCCAGTTGTGATAAGTGCTGCAGAGAAAATGGCACAAAGTAAAGAAAGAGTGAACAGGGCCTTTGATTACATGGTCAGGGAAGACCTTCCCTCAGGAGGGGATATTTGAACTACACAGCGGGAACAAGACAGCCAGGCACAAACTCTGGGGCAAAGTGCCCTAGACAGAGGGCACTGCAAGCGCAGGGGCTTGGCATGTATATGGAATGAAGAAATAGAGGAAATCAAGCAGAGCTAAGAGGAAGGAGAGCAAGGAATTGGGGGCCAGGGTGGCAGGAAGGTGACGATGTCGGAGAAGCGTGCTATGGAGGACTTCATAGGATATTGCATTTTATCCCAGCAGCAAGAAGAAGCCTTTGAAGGTTCTCAGCAGGGGAGTAATATTGTCTGATGGACTCTTTGAAAATCCTTTCTGGCCATGCCATAGGCAAGAACTGTAGGGAGGAGGCAAGGGTGGAAGCTAGGAGACCAGGAAGTGATTGTAGTAGTTCAGGCAACAGATGTCAGTAGCTTGAACTCAGGTTGTAGCTGTGCATTTGAAGAGAAGAGGTAAGATGGGATTTATTTTGGAGGTAGGACTGACAGATTTGATTTTAGATTGCATAATTGATATATGAGGGAAAGGGGAAAAAAATCAACCTAAAATCAAACCTAGAAGATGACTCTAGGTTTTAACCCAAATAATGGCATAAATAATGCCATTTATTCAGTTGGGGAAGACTAGGGGGGAGTTTGGGGATCCGGAATTTTCTAAGAGTCAGGTGGAAGAGTAGACATAGAACTTTCTATTATCCTTCCTCTTACCTCCTGTAGGAGCACATACTCTGCTTTTATTCTGCTTAGTTCTGCTGGTTTTCCAAGGGCTTGAGTATTTAAACATGTGGTTTTTGGTTTTTTGTTTATTGTTTTTGCCTACAGGGCTCCACAGAGAGCTGCAACACCACCACAGAAGATGAGGACCTCAAAGGTAGGTGCTGGCCCCTTGCTGGGGAAAGGATGCCAGCAGTGTCCCCAGTACCTTGGCTTCGGTGGAACACCTGCCTTTCCTGCCCCCAGAACTGAGATTGGTGGCTCCTCATACCCAGAGGAGGGCTCGGCATAAAGTTACTGTCCATGGGCCAAGATATGAGGTGCCTGTCTGTTGTGGCTGGGCTAGGCAAGAGGTGTCTCTTCTTTGACCCCAAGTCTGGTGTAGCTAAATTAGAGCTGTTTCTGAGCCTGCCTAGGGCTAGGGCTCAGAGGACTGTTCCTGTTGCTGATAACAATGTGACATCCCCGAAGAGGGATACCTTTGAGTCCCTGCAGAAGTAGCCCACAAATGTCATGAGTCATTAGTAGGATGACCAGTTGTCTTAGTTTCCCCAGGACTGAGGTGATTTCCAAGATGTGGAACTTTATGTTTTAAAACTGGAACAGGCCTAGGCTCATTGGGATGAGTTAGTCACTCTCGCCTCAAAGCCTTGGCATGAATAATGGAGTCAGGACCACATTTCGCTATGTCCTAGTGACGCTGTAAGGACCACCAGCCTAAGTGTGAGCCTGGCCAAAGTGCCAGGAGATGTGGGAGGGTGCGGTAGGCCAGACCACTGGGAATCTCTGTCCTGCTCTTTGGTTTGGCCTCCTGGAATTGTTCCCTTTGCCTTCAGAAAGGGACCTTAGGCCAGGCTTTCAGAAAAGATTGAGGAATGTTGCAGGACAGAGCTGAGAGAGTATGGCCACGGGTAATGAGGGGGCAGCAAACCTTTGGTAACCCCAAAAATACAAAGCATAAACGTGTAAGGCAGCAAAGAACAGCAGCGCGGGGCTGCTGGGGTGAAGGTCAGGTCAGATCAATTCTGGCAGTGCTGGCAGAGTACACAGCTTCTTCACTGCTGGGCTCTTGACCATGTAGCCTAGCCCCCTAGAACATCTTCCCTGGGAGCAGGGCCCCTTGTACATGCTGTTTGAAAGCTCCTCTGGAAGCCACAAGCCCAGGTCTGTGCACTCTCCTGGGGTCCTTGGCTGGGAGGCCTCTCTTGCAGAGGTGGCGGCGTGGGATGTGGTCCAGTGTCCACAGCAGCCCGAGGCCTCGCCTTGCCCCGGCTCTGCAGTGCCACGGGCTCGGGTCCTGGTTGGCTTGCTCGCTCACCTGCCTTGTTCTGTTTGTTTTGGCTGCTCTGCCTTGCCCTGCCCTGCCCTGGCTGGCTAGCTGCCCCGCTCCGCACTGGGAATGGCAGCTCGGTGCCTGAAGGACGGAGCTCCCGGGACAGAACAGCCCCCTCTGCAGGCATGCAGCCCCAGCCTTCTCTCTGCTCCTCAGCCAGTAAGTGTGAGGGAGGCACAATCTGGCTTCCATTCCCTGGCTCCTCCTGAAGCCCCACAGGGATTGCCCCCAGAGCTGGCAGCCCAGCCCAGCTGTCCCTTTTAGTAAGCTTTGGGCGCTTGGCCTCTGCTGGGTGGGAGAGCTGATCGGAGGCGTTGTTAACCAGGCAGGGGCCCCTGAGACCAGGGCCCAAAGACATAAAGAGGGGGTGGAAGAACATCGCATGGTGGGAAGGAGCAGAAAGTCATGGGATGTGCAGTGGGCCGTACCTCAGCACCGAGCCAGGACGAAAGGCCGAGTCAGAAGTCAGGTCAGAGGCGGTGGGAGCCGGGGTGAGGGTGAAGATTGCAATAGCTGAGAAATCGTTTCGGGAAATGGATTTCCCTGAGGCTCAGTCTATCATATTAAGAGCAATGGGCTTGGGTGAGACAGACCTGAGTTTGAATCCCAGCTGCTCTACTTTAAAAAACATGTGAAGTAGATGAGACCTCCCAGAGCTTGTTTCCTAATCTATAAAGTGGGAATAAAATGGCCTCTACCTCATAGCACTGTTATGAGAAATAAATGAGGTAGTAGGATGTCTTGATAGGATGCCTTACTGGGTTAATGATAGCTCATATTTATATTTTTAGTTGTGTCTGTGTAGAGTATGCCTTTGTTTCTTTTCCACCTACTACCTATCTTTTTAGAGTTTCTAAACACAGTTCCTCTTCACCCATAGGCCCCCAGTCACGTCCTGCAGACGGGCGTGGTGGGATTGGAGGAGGTGTGTGTGTCTGTGTGTGTGCGCGCGTTCCCATCTCTAGAAAGTGGATAGAGCTCGATGGTTTCCCTCACCTGCTGCTTATTCACCTGAGGGTGCTGATGGCTGTGGGGGTCCCCTCCTGGCTGTACCTTTGGATGTGTGCCCTCTCCCAGCTGTGCCCTGGGCTCTGCTGTCCTAATGCTCACGTTTGCCTTGCAGCCTCTCAACCCTGTGAGGCGAGGCTTGTAGCCAGGGTCAGCCTAGGGTTCTGATCAGGGCTGGCCTGAGCTCAGTCCAAGCCCTCCCTTACCCTGGCAGCACCCTCTGCTAATGGTGGCGCTCCCTGTATGGAATCTGTCCATGAGTACAGGGTGTCACCAGCAGTTCCTTGGACTGGGATGGGTAGGGCTCTGAGGGCACCAACTCTGCCTGCCTGTCAGTCTGTGCCTTGTCTTGGTTTTCCTGATGGACACATCCTGGCATGAGAGATGATAGATTTACAGCTTTTCCAAGACTTGTCCAGGGTAAACGGAGCTGCCTTTCTGGTTAGAGGCTTCATTTCTTTTGTTGTTGCTGTTGTTTTGTTTTGTTTTGTTTTTTAAAGGTCTGGGATAGAACCCAGAAATTGAGATTTTTTTCTTTTTTTTAAAGATTTAGTTTATTTTTAGAGAAAACGAGGGAGAGAGAGAGGGAGAGAAACATCAATGTGTGGTTGCCTAGCGCACCACCCCCAACAAATGGGGATTTAGCCCACAACCTAGACATGTGCCCTGACTGAGAATCGAACTGGCGACCCTTTGGTTTGCAGGCCAGCACTTAATCCACGGAGCCACACCAGCCAGGCCCTGGTGAGAGGCTTCATTTAAAAAGAATGTTTCTCGTTCTAAGATACTTTATCCCAGAAAAGCCCTGTGGAGGAGATGAGCAGGGTGAAGAGAATTAAACATCCACCTTAGGGCTCTGTTCATCATTTTGGAGCCTGCATCCCTGTCTAGATTCAGCTCTCAGGCTGGCTCTTGCCCAGGGCTAGGTTCTGGACCACTGAGTGAGAGCTGGCGGGTGGGGAGCATGGTACTTCAGATCTGATTGAGCCCCTTCAGGTGAGAGACATAAGCAGGTGATGGAAACAGCCTTATGAGGAGATGCTTCTTAGAGAAGCTGACCGTGTTGGAGGTGGGATGCACAGACTCTGGACGGAGTATTCATGATACGCCAGGCTCCTCAGCAGTTAAAAGCAAGAGTGTTTTTTGCATCCTGGTTGTTGATGGAGAGGGAGACAAAGGTCAGAGAACCAGAACAAATGTGTGGGCTTCAGGAGGAGGGTGTCATTAGTTCTACAGACAACAGAGGAGGGATGGAGAAAAAGGTGGGCTCGCTCTTCATGCAAAGGGCCTTAAAGACAGAAAAGAGGCATGTCTTTGTCAAAGAGATCACAGGGGGTTCTTGAAGGGCTGGGGTGGGCTCTCCATCACTTGGGAGCTCCCCAGTTCCACACAGGTAAATTGCTCGATTTTTCCCCCCACAGTGCGAAAACAGGAGATCATTAAGATCACAGAACAACTGATCGAGGCCATTAACAATGGAGATTTTGAGGCCTACACGTGAGTAGAGACCCAATTCCTTGTGACTCAAGTTTCTCAAGGCCTTTTCCTCCTCCCCAAAAGCAACTAGGACCCTGGGGAAAGGGAAGACTGGGCTTTGGGCACAATGTGTGAGTTAAACACCCAGAATTGCAGGTAGGCACCCTATGAGCCTGCCTGAGGTGTGCGGGCACTGGGCTGAAAGGACAGGGCCAAGAGGTTCAGCCAGCAGACCCCCAAGATCGTAGCCATCTCATCCGGCCTAGCCCACAGCTTACCTGCGGGACAGACACCACTGATGAGGGAGAAAGACGAGTAACTCCCATAGAAGACTAACAGGCTACTTTTTTTTTTCCTGCAGGAAAATTTGTGATCCAGGCCTCACCTCCTTTGAGCCCGAAGCCCTTGGTAACCTCGTGGAGGGAATGGATTTCCATAAGTTTTACTTTGAGAATCGTGAGTGGGTTCGTGCTGCTGATATACTCCTGCCTGCCCCTTCACCTCCTTTGCCTCTGTCCCTGCTCACGCTCTCGTCTTCCCGGTTGCCTGCTTTTCCCTTATTTGACCTGCCTGCCGCACCCTGGTCTGTGCGCTTGCCTCCTCATGCCCTGAGAATGGTCTTAGACGGCACCTTTGAAGACCCTGCTCCAGGACGCCACGTTGCCCCTTCATTCTGCAACTGCCTCATGGCCGTGCTGGTTGCCACAGTCAGGGTCACTGTATTTCTTTACGCCTCATCTCTTTCTAAGATGATTGGAAACCATTTGAGATGAGGCTGTGACGATCTCAGCAAATAATAGTGAAGCTCGGTGTCTACAGATGTCACAGCAGAGGAAATTAAAGCCAGAATGAGAATGCGCAAGGAAGTCACAGGGCACTGTTGGTGCCTTGTGAGAGCGGAAGTTATAGCAAGGGTCTTCCTGAATATGGAGGGAGACAGGAGTCCTGGCTGGGGGGTGTACACTAGACAGTTCATGGAAGTCCCAGGGGATAAGAAACTGAACATTCACCTTATACCATCTCTCTCTCCACTCTCTAAGACCCGCCCCCCCCCCTTTATTTTAAGCTTTTCTTTCCACTTTACCCTGGGCTTTCCCCATTATGGCTTACATTTTATTTTGCTATTGTTTTCTCTGCTAACTACATCTCTGTATCTCAGTTACAAATGTAAACCCTAGGCGATCTAAGTAATTCTATTATCCAGAAGCAATTCCAGAGTTTATAGAAACTCTAGGGAAGGTTTCATGTTGCCCCTATCTACCATTTGAATTGAACTAAGATGTGAATCTCAATAAAAGGAACACAATTCACAGTGTTTGCTGATAATGGCAATCTTTTGACTTTCCCCCAGAGGATCCTGGGAGCCCTAGGAATATCCTGAGCTTGGCGCTTTGATGATTCTATTTTTAGACTTTTTTTTTTAATCACAGATCAATTTTGAATATTTTTAAGTTCTTGATTTTGCTCTACAGCCCTAATTAGGGATAAGCTAATACTTATAAACCCTAAACATCAGCCTAGCAGAGTAGAAAGATCATAGGCTTTAGTAAGATGACCCTGATCTCAAATGTTGTATGTGATTTGGGGAACTTACTTAACCTCCTTGAACCTGTTTCCTTGTCTTATAAAAAAGAAAATAGGATCAACCAAAGAACACAGCTTGTGCATGTAAGACACCCAGCACAATGTCTGATTAAATTAGCTGCCATTATCATTGTTCTCCACCTTTCCCTTCCTTTTGGATAACTGAGACTAATGTGATGAAGTTTCCTGGCCTCTGGAAGGTGTATGGGGGGCCTTGGAGACTCCCAGAATGGTTGCTGGAGAGAGGGTGAGACTTGGAAGTGCAGGCTGGGAGGAGAATGTCGGTGCCCAGGTCTGATGCCCTCCTACCTACCCCAACCCGCCCTGCCCCCTGCAGTCTTATCCAAGAACAGCAAGCCCATTCATACCACCATCCTGAACCCACATGTCCACGTGATCGGAGAGGACGCAGCTTGCATCGCCTATATCCGCCTCACCCAGTACATCGATGGCCAGGGCCGGCCTCGAACCAGCCAGTCGGAGGAGACCCGGGTCTGGCACCGCCGGGATGGCAAGTGGCTCAATGTCCACTATCACTGTTCAGGGGCCCCTGCTGCACCGCTGCAGTGAGCTCAGCCACAGGTGCACCTGGTTGGGGGGGTGGGGAGGGGCTGGGACGGGTGGGGTCAGAGGAGGAAGAGTTGGTTGAGAGTTGGCATTGGGGGAATAGATGTGGGCCACCCTAGAGGAAGGGCTAGACTGTGCTAGACTGTGCTTATAACAAGTTACTCTCTTAAATCAGACAGACTTCAGTCTAGCTCCAGGACTCCAAATTGGGTTTCTTCCTTGCCCTAAGCCTCGGTTTTCTTAGCCATCAAAAAGAGGGAAAGAATGGTGCCTATCTCATTAAGTTCTGATAATTATATGACGTACTTATAAGTAAAGCATTTAGTAAGTGCTCAGCAAACTTGAGGTGTTGTTATACTTAAATACTAGCTTCTGCCCCATCCTCTACCTTCTCAGGCAGACTTGGCCATGTGTGAAGTGTGTTTAAGTCCCTGGAACTCATCTGTGTGTTTATTGTTCTCTCTTCTGTTACCATGTCTGTCCTGTTTGACAGGGGCATTAGGAGATCCCAACTGGAGGTCGAACCTTTGCAGCCAGTGGCTCTGGAGGGCCTGAGCGACAGCGAGCGGCAGTCCTGTTCGTTTGAGGTTTAAAACAATTAAATTACAAAGCGGCAGCAGCCAATGCACGCCCCTGCATGCAGCCCTCCCGCCCGCCCTTCGTGTCTGTCTCTGCTGTACTGAGGTGTTTTTTACATTTAAGGGGGAAAAAAAAGAAAAAAGATTGTTTTAAAAAAAAAAAGGAATCCATACCATGATGCGTTTTAAAACCACCAATAGCCCTTGGGCTGGCAAGAAGGCAGGAGTTTGTGCGATGGCCATCCTGGCATGAGCAGCGGGGCACACTCACCAGCCCTGAAGAGGTGAGCCTGGCCTCAGGCCTCCATGGACTTAGGAGACCAGGCAAGAACTCTGACAAAACTTTGGGGGCCGTGATGTGATTGCAGCCTCTGAGGTGGCCTGCCTGCCCCAGGTCTAGGAATGGACTTCTTCAGAATTTGCATAGGCACCTAGAATGAGGCTGATGAGAACACCACAGCCATCAGACCTACTTGGGAGAATGCGCAGAGCTCCCAGCCTTCTGTGGAGGAAGCTGAGAAGCTGTGGCCTCAGGACTAAGGGCCCGGATGTTGCTGTACTGTTTCACTTAGCATAGAAGGGAAGAGAATTGGTGCTGCAGAAGTGTGTCCGCTACGAAGCCGATGAGAAGCCTCGTGTTAGTCTGACATGTACTCACTTACTCATCCATTTCTATAGGATGCACAATGCACGTGGGCCCTGATATTAAGGCCCAATCCCTGCAGAGGGAAAGGGGGAGGGGTTGCACTTTGCTTCGTGTTTGTTTTCTTATAACTTAGCAAGAGGAGAGCCAGACCCTGGTCAGGGCTCCCTTTGCCGCCTTTGGCAGTTCTGTTTCTGTGCTGATTTGGACCATCTTTGTCTTGCCTTTTCATGGTGGTGGTCCCGTGCTGACCCTCATCTGGGCCTGGGCCCTCTGCCAAGTGCCCCTGTGGGATGGGAGGAGTGAGGCAGCGGGATTGAGTTGATGGTTGTCTCTATGCATTCAGGCTGCCCTGATGGCTGTCTCCCTTCTTACTATTCCCCTGCTGCACGTCCATCTCTTCCTGTTTTTGAGATTGACCCAACTGCTTTGGCAAGAAGAAGAGGTATCCTCTTTAAGAGGTCTCTTTACTGACCAACTGAAGTATAGACTTACTGCTGGACAATCTGCATGGGCATCACCCCCACCACCACCACCTGCATGTACCCAAAAGAGGTATCCAGAGCCAAGACTCCTACTTACATTCATTGTCCCTCTCTGTGCTCAAGGAGTTCCATTCCAGGAGGGAAATATCTATACTCTAAGCAGATAGCAGAGAAGATAATGGAGGAGCAATTGGTCATGACCTTGGTTTCCCCAAAACAACTGTGCAAACTTCTCTGCGCAAATATTTGCACTATTGGGGGGGAAAGGTAGGTAGACTCCAGCTGCCTGGACTACCTTCAGGAGGCAAAGCTACAGGTTGACCTTGGAGCCAGCTGAGAAGAGAGCAAACTCACAGGTGCTGGTGCTTGGATTTAGCCAGGCTCCTCCGAGCACCTCATGCATGCCCCAGCCCCTGGGCCCTGGCCCTTTCCTTTCCTGCAGCCTGCAGTACCAGCACGCAGACACCTTCACCACAGGGTTTGGTTTTGCTGGCTTGAAGACAAATGGTCTTAGAGTTCATTAAGACCCATAGCTTCATATGGCTGCTCCAGCCCCACTTCTTAGCATTCTTACTCCTCTTCTGGGGCTAATGTCAGCATCTATAGTCAATAGACTATTAAAAAAAAAAAAAAAAATCACCTTTTAAACAGGAAATGGAAGGCATTTGATGCAGAATTTTTGCATGATGACATAGAAATAATTTAAAAATAGTGTTTGTTCTGAATGTTGGTAGACCCTTCATAGCTTTGTTACAATGAAACCTTGAACTGAAGATATTTAATAAAATAACCTTTAAACCGTCCATTGTGTTATGCTGTTGGAGGCTTAGATTTTAGATTTTAGCAATCTGAGTTAACAAGGCTTCAGATGGAGAGATGTACCTTCCCCCACTCCCTTTGGGCCCATTTTGGAATGAAACTTCATAAACTCATCAGCCTCCACCCAGTTCACCGGGCTGGAGGCGAGTTTGGGGTGGGGAGAAAGGGTTTGGGCCCTTAGCTGCTGGGTTAGGGGTCTCGCCCCGCCCTCGGGCCTGCGCCAAGGGCCTCCCCTTCCCGCCCCCTTCCACCTATCAGTGGGCCGGGCCGGCTCCCCCTCCGCAGGGCTGAGTGGATCAGCCCGTACCCTGGGCCCGCCCCTTCTTGGTGAGCCGAGGCGCCCGACGCTCGGCAGACTGTGCCAAGCTGTAGGGAGGAGGGGGTGCCCTCTGCGGGTGGGGCTCAGAGCCCGCCGTCTCGGAGGCCGAGGCTGGGCTGATCACTGCAGAAGACCGTCCGGCCACCCGGCATCGCGGCAGATTACCTGGCCCACGGGCGGCGGGAACCCTAGCGGACACCGCGAGCAGCAGCGCGCCGCCTCCCCCCGGTGGGAGCAGTGGTTGGGCCCGGCTGCAGCGGAGCTTTCGCTCGGAGATGGCGGAGCTGCCGTGTCGCGGCCCGAGGCCCCGAAAGCAGGGAAGCCGGGCAGCCCCGGGACGCGGCGGAGCCCGGGGACAGCGGGGACGCCGCCCAGTCCGCCGGGTGAGCCACCCTTGAGGATACCACCCCACAAGCGGTCACCCGCAGTTCTCTCCTCACAGACTTTACCTGTTATCCCCATAACCACCCACAGGGTCGTCGCGGGCGGCCCCTCAACGCGGCCCTGCGCGCCCCTCGCCCCGTGTCCCTTCCACTAGCCTCCCCCATAGCGGCTTCACTCCCTCAGCTCTACCCCACAGTTCAGGGCTTCTCCCCACCTCGGTTCTCCCAGCCCAATGCTGCCTCGTTATCCCAGACTCTTCTGTGCGCACCCCTTGCCCTTTCCCCTTTAATGCTCCACATCCGGCGCTCTCCTCATATCCACCTGTGACCCCATATTCCCTTCCAGCAGGGTCCCTCCGTCTGTGACCCGACGTACCAGCCCCCCGTGCCCGTGTCGCCACCCGGTACCCCTTCCTCCCATAGCTTCTGCTTCTCTTCCAGCGCGGAGCCCCTACCCCCGCCTTCCCCAGGCTCTGTCACTAGTGCTGTCCTCCAGCCCAGGCCTGGATGACTCTTTTGGTTTCTCCTTCAAAAACCTCGCACTGCTGCTCACACGTAAAGCACCGCCCTCACCCCGTGTTCCTACTCCCATATGCATCACCCCACACCACACCCGACGCCAGTGGCTCCCTCAGCATCCCTTCCCTAAACATTGCTGTTTCTTCTAGGTATGAAGGTAAAATGCATTGGTTGAGAGCATGGGCTATGGAGCTTGGCAGGCCTGACTTTGAATCCCAGTTCCTCCACTGACTGAGCTGTGTGATCCTGGGCAAGTTACTAAGCTTCTCTGAACTTCAAATTACACATGTAGAATGGAGATAACAGTAGTATCTACCTCTTAGGGCTGGTGTGAGCATTAAATATATGGAAAGCTCTTAGAAGAACATCTGGCAAAGAGTAAACTCTCAATAAATGTTGACTATTTTATTATACTTAATTCGCCCCAAATGTCCACCCCCCCCCTGCCCCCACACCTTGACTTCTCACTATTGTGTTTTCTCCACGGAGTTTTCTCTAATTCTTAGGATTTACCCCTTTCCCTCATCATTTTGATCCTCTCCCAGTTCTCTTTTCATGTCAATTACCAGTAGAGTTACCCAGGCCAAAGCTGAACTATTCTTAAATCATCTCTCTCGATCCTGAAAGACCCTCTCTCTCCGAATCACCTGAAATGTTAATGCCTGCGAGTGGGTAGCTGAGAGGAATTGGCAGCCACTGGCCTTACTAAGAGTAGTTAAGATGGGGAAAGCTACATAAAGCTTCTAGAAGCAGTCGATCTATTTAAGAAAAAAGTCTCCAAACTTAGGTATCCTTAAAACTGGCTTCCATTCACACTGATGTGCTCTTTTCTCTCTCTCTTACTGGTTGAATATGACTTATTTCTCCCTCTCATCCAGCCCCACTCAATTTTCTCTTTTTTTATAACAGGACTCAATTCCTCATGTCTTTCCAGGCTAGCTGAGGTCTTCTTCTGAGCTGTCAGTTGATGAGCGTATAGTACCACCTGGGCTAAGTTAGGAAGGAGAACTGGGATGGATAGGGAAAGAGACTCTGAACTCAGCTCTCTGGCTTTTCTTAGGTCTCAGTGATTTGACCCATATAGGGCTACATTTTTATCATCTCTTCTGACACTGGCATAAGTGGGGTGAAAGGCAGAGGATAAGCAATTTTTCACAAGCAGTGAAAAAGATACTCCCCAACTTCTGGGTTTGGAAGCTAATAGAATGATTAGCTAGCACCATTTCTCTTTTCTCTTGAACTCCCCCACCATGGTGTCTACCTGACTGCAAGTTTGTTAATGCTGTTAGCCTGTGGTATTGGCTTTGATTGATGAAGAAGATTAACAGGCTCATGAGTTTCTTTTTATCTGATATTTCGTTGGAGCATGGGACTCCTGGGGCTTTCTGTTCATTCCTCACAAGACCAGAGCTCCTGCTGATTGGCCAACTGCTTGGTCATGGGCTGGGAACTCCTTTCAGAGTAGGTTCATTTTCAGCTTCCTGAGCTGTTTGGCTTCTTGTTGATGGGAGAGTTGTTCTTTCCAGCCCTTGAATATGCTTTTCCAGCTTGAGCTTAGCTCAGGGAGGAGAATTTATACAGTATTCTGAGAAGAGGAACAATCTATGAGGTTAAAGTATGAGACTCAGATTGTGTTGTTCTTCTGCAGGAACTTTGTTTTTTTGGAGAACAAATCACCCTGTGATGAGCAGAAGGTAAGAGGATGGGGTGAAGAGGGTAACGGATTAATGACACAGTTTCAAAGGAAGAAATAATCCATCAATTTTCCTGTCTTACAGATAGGAAGGGCAGAGATTGTGGACTTTGCTGACCTCTGATGTGAGGAGCTCGAACAGGACCAAGGGTGGAGCCTGTCTGGATTTGCATCCTAAAGCTATGGGCCAGGGGGCCATGGTGACCTGACAAAAATGGACTCTGTCCAGTTGCCCCCTGTTGCCCCTTCTACCTCCCCTACTCTACTCTAAGGGAACTTGTCTCAACCTCTTCAGGGAATTGACCCTGAGGGAATCCCTTTTCCCTATTTTCCTATGCTTCCACCCTCCCAAAAGAGCCCTAATCTGTAGAACTCCTACCTCCCATCCCTTGAGGTAGTCCCCATCCCTGCCTCCCCTCCCCCGCCATGCTCAAGCTGTGGAAGGTGGTACGCCCAGCTCGGCAGCTGGAACTGCATCGCCTCATACTGTTGCTAATCGCTTTCAGTCTGGGCTCCATGGGCTTCCTGGCTTACTACGTATCTACCAGCCCCAAGGCCAAGGAACCCTTGCCCTTACCCTTGGGAGACTGCAGCAGTAGCGGGGCAGCTGGCCCTGGCCCTGTACAGCCTCCAGTCCCACCTCGGCCTCCCAGACCTCCAGAGACAGCTCGAACTGAACCTGTGGTCCTTGTGTTTGTGGAGAGCGCATACTCACAGCTGGGGCAGGAGATTGTGGCTATCTTGGAGTCTAGTCGTTTTCGTTATAGCACTGAGCTGGCACCTGGCCGAGGGGACATGCCCACACTGACTGATCATACCCGTGGCCGCTATGTCTTGGTCATTTATGAGAACCTGCTCAAGTATGTCAACCTGGATGCCTGGAGTCGAGAACTGCTAGACCGTTACTGTGTGGAGTATGGTGTGGGCATCATTGGCTTTTTCCGAGCCCATGAGCATAGCCTACTAAGTGCCCAGCTCAAGGGCTTTCCCCTTTTTCTGTACTCAAACCTGGGGCTCCGGGACTACCAAGTGAATCCTTCTGCCCCTCTACTGCATCTCACACGCCCTAGCCGCCTGGAGCCTGGACCATTGCCTGGTGATGACTGGACCATTTTTCAATCCAATCATAGCACATATGAACCAGTGCTTCTTGCCAGCCTTCAATCTGCTGAGCCGCCTGTGCCAGGACCAGTGCCTCGCCGGGCGCGGCTTCCCACTGTGGTACAGGACCTGGGGCTTCATGATGGCATCCAGCGGGTGCTCTTTGGCCATGGCCTTTCCTTTTGGCTCCACAAACTTATTTTTGTTGATGCTGTTGCGTACCTCACTGGCAAGCGCCTTTGCCTGGACCTTGACCGCTACATCTTGGTAGACATTGATGACATCTTTGTGGGCAAGGAAGGTACCCGCATGAAGGTGGCTGATGTTGAGGTCAGTCTTTTTCCTTAGAAATTGTTTCAAGCTCTAGCCTATCAGACTCCCTTCCTTGATTCTGAGCTTGCCATAGGTATACTCTCTGCTCTTTCTGGGTGGGAAGAACACTACCCATTTTTCTCCTGCTCAATCTGTTATCTCCTGATTTCTTGTGTTCCTGCTACTCTTCCCAGGCTCTGTTGACCACCCAGAACAAACTCAGGACCTTAGTCCCCAACTTCACCTTCAACTTGGGCTTCTCGGGCAAGTTTTATCATACTGGTGAGCTTATTCCCCTGCTCCTTCAGCATATCAACCTAGTGTGATCTGTGTCTTCACTGTCCCACCTTCCTGGGTAGACAAGTTGGAGAAAAGGGGCAAGATTTGGGGTGAGAATGCTGTGAGGAGCTAGTAGTGGGTATGAATTTTAGTTAGCATGGGTGGCTAGAGGGCAAGGTGGCAAGGAGGCAGAAGGGCAGTCCTAGATGGGCAAAGGTCCCAAAGATGGAAGGTGATCAGTGTTGTTACAGAACAAAGGAGGGCACAGGGACTAACTGGCTGTGTTCAGTGGTCAGTGTGTGGTCATAGGGACAGAGGAGGAGGATGCAGGGGACGACATGCTGCTGAAGCACCGCAAAGAGTTCTGGTGGTTCCCCC